ATATATATATATATAAACACTTATAACACAACTAATTAGATTTGTAGTAATTTTACTCTTCTTGAAAAGAATATAGAAGAGGTACTGGAAATTATTTAGCTAGTTTAGAATACTAAGGAGCAGTTACACTTATATTCTAACCTCACATTTTGAGTCTTCAATTATTATTTTTTTCCAGATTGCAGCATCATATGGAAATGCTGTTTGCATTTTTGAACCACTTGGTATAAATTCTCATAAAAGAAATTCTGTAAGTATGTATTTAATAATTATAATTCAGTTTAGGCTCTTAGAAGAGACAGAAGTCTATCTGCCAGCTTTATATTATATTGTATTTATTATCAGACAAAAGACTAATGGATAAACATTTTCCACCATCCATAATAAAAAGAATCTTCCTCTGAATTCATTGCACTCCTAATTTCACAACATCTTGTTTCTTAAATCTCATACTAGTACGACATAGTGACGAGTTGGTGTTTCTTTAACTTGAAGAGGTCATCAGATCTGTGGTACAGAACTTTGCCTTAGACTTAGGTGTACCCAGGCTTGTTTTAACACCGTAGCCATGGCCAAGCACTCAAGCATTAAGAGTGTTCTAAGCAGGTTTCACAATCTTTGTTGCATCTGTACTGCCATCCCTTATGTTGTTTTAAGTGTATGACCTAGCTAGTTTAAAGTAATTACAGATATATTTGTATGTGTGACAAGTCCAGGTCTGTTCACTCTGCAATGCATTTAATTTTTATGAACCAATTAAAGAAATTATTAAAACGAGATTCAGCAGTCCACCACGGGGTCATGAATGTTTTTGCAGTAGACTTAATAGCAACTTCATAGAGAATGAAAGAAATATCATTATTTTGCTCTTGATGTGAGAATTAATCCTTTACTGTTTTTAAACTACAGCAACTAAAGTGTCAGTGGCTTAAAACTGGACAGTTCTTCCTCAGCTCTATGACTTATAATCTGGCATGGGATCCTCAAGGTAATGTGAAGTTCGTAAAGTAGTTGTTCAGCATTTGTAGTTAGGGAGAGCTTGAACCCAAATTATTTTTACTGCAATACAGTGAGAGCAGGAATATGTAATTTGTAATGATCTGTTCTCAAGCAGTGTTGAATAAAATTTGAAGCTACAAGTTAGCATTTGTGAAGATGCTGTGCTAAGTTTCTGAGTCGTCTATGCAAGATCTTCGTTTGGGAATCACAGTGTTAACTTGCTAACTGAGTTAAATTATTACTAATAATAATTTAAGTAGAATTTTATAACAATTAAAGTCAGCAATGTACCTGGACACGGATATTTATAAGATGTCTAACAACGTGTATTTATTTGAGAGTGAGTGGATGTTTAGCATCTACAACATGGACTAGTAAATATTTGAAGTTATGAAAAAAACCTTGATGTTCTTTCTTAAAAGGTATTATAAATTCAGAATGTTCTAATAAAAACAGCTATATAATATGATTGAATACCCTGTCATATTTAAAGTGGACTTTTTGAAGTTGAGTTTTCAACTTGTTTTGAATAATTCTCAACAAAATATTGTGTCAGGCTTAATCTTTCAACATATGTGCATTATCTTGGCTTCATAGCTTTGATATTACTCACTTTCAGGTAACAGGCTGCTGACAGCAACTGACTTTTTGCAATTGTGGGCACCTCCAGCTAGTGACATCCTAGAAGAAGATGAAGATGATGATCCTGACAATCAGATCAAAGATGATAAAGTTCTCCCAGTTCTAAATGACTGGAAATGTGTCTGGCAGTGCAAGTGAGTCAGAGAATCTTTATCTTAAGACAAACTGCAATGCCACCTCATATATCAACCCTATCTTCTCTCCAAAATTATATTTTAAAATGTGCTTTTAAATCAGCTTAAAATACTGTAAAATTCAAACCATGTAAGTTACTCCAAATAAAAATTCCTCACTTGAGAAGTGGCCTATCACCAGATAACCTAGTCAAAGGTTTACCCAAACTGTAGCGCTGGCAGTGTATCAAAATCATCCCCCTTTTCTCATCTCTGAGAGTAGTGCTGAGATACTGGATGAGACTGAACAGAGGAGCAGTAGCAAGCAGATATACTTCACTGACAAAGATGAGAGCTCTTTCCTGACTCTTAGCAAGAGGGTCCTGAGATTCTTTCTACCCAGTTCTATTTGAGATCCATGTTACAGAAGTGATTCATCATCCGCCATTCCTATCTATCTGCAGACTTGGGAAGCAGCTGCCTATGAACCTGTTTTCTCCTGACTTTTTCGAAGCCATTTTTAATTTTTATGCCTGCAAAGGACTGCATAGATTTTCGTCTCCAACAGCTGAACCATAAGCTGTACTGACAGACAATTAGTATCAATAATTATCTAAAATATCTTCAATTTTGTGTCTTCCTACTGTTTATCATGGATTCCCTGGGATTAGAGGAACAGTTGGGGCAAACTTCACTTCTGTGTTCTCATTGGATGTACCTAGGCTTGCCATACTTAAAATTATTTTATGGGCTATTTTTTCTGTAAAGCTGTGAAAATACTAAATATTTTGTTCCATTGTAGCAAATACTTTTTATGCTTTTGCTATTTGTAAAGTACGCTTTAAAAAAGCAACTATAGCATACTAATATACATTATTTAAATAAGGAATGGTAATAATTAACGCAATACATATGGAAACTGAGTACATATTAAAACTTTACTCACATGTTCTTTAGGACTGCTGTATCAGTACATTTGATGGCCTGGTCTCCTGACGGTGAATACTTTGCAACCGCTGGGAAGGTAAGGACAAAAAAAAAAAAAATCATGAAGTAAGTGTTTCCAATGTTTTGCATTTGTTTGACCAAAGTAAATAAGTAATATAGAATAGTCCTGGATCATACACTCTATTGTAGTCTGAGCTAAGTTATCATCTCTTACGTAATGCTGTGTTTTCATGTAATTCCATGAATTTCAGCAACAATAAATTGGATGTAGCTGCGTCCTCTTATTGAACATGTGAGAATCAGCCTGGAAATACAGTGACAATGACACAGACCTGTGTGTATATATACATTTTAGATAAAGTATACTTAGATGAACTTTAAGATCTGCCTAAATATATATTTCTACTTCTGTTGGAAATAATGAGGATAAATATTAGATCATTATGATAGAACTCATACACATTTAAACTGGTATAATATACACATCTTGGATCAATTTGAGAAGATTTTGTATGTGGTGAATTCTGGGTTCAGTTATTGGTTCTTAACTCCTATCACAGTTTGGCATATTTTTTAGTCAAATTGTTACTCAAGCTAATTTTTCCGTTTAATAATTTTCTTTAATATTGCCTTACTGTTTGAGTGAGAAAAAAAACCTTTGTTTTTCAAGTCTGGACAAGTAAGCACTTATTGCTTGCACATAATGTTGGTTGAATAGTGAGATAAATTTGAAGTTTGAAGAAGTTTTTTACACTTACCGAAGAGGACAACTAAATCATTAGCTGCATTGTTTTATAACTAAAAATGTCCTTATACCTTAATAAATATCACGTTTAGAATCACTGTGGTTAGAAAATCATAAGAGATTTGCTTCATTCCGTATTTCAATTTCCCATGAATATACTTTTACATAGCAGATTGTTCCAGAAGTCATTTTCTGTCTATAGGACAGCTCTCTATTAGTTGTTTCATAAGATACACAGCTTTGATCATAATTCTTAACAGGGCTGCCTGTCAGACTTCCTTGTTGCAGAATCTGTGGTCAGATACTGTACTTTTTGATGCTTGTCAGGAAATACTCTCTTTTATCTGCACCCTGAGGTTTGTAATTTATTCATTTATTTACTTTATTCTATCTCGACTCCAGCAGTCGAAATCCAGGGATGTGGCATCCAGCTGTGTACACTGTGCTGCTGTCATGATGGTTACGTTGTCCCTTGCTCACATTGGTGCAATTTTACTCCAGTCTCACTTCCCAGCATTTGTAGTGTTGCTGTGTCAACAGTTAATTATGTGAATGGTGCCCAAGCATTCAAACCAGAAAGGTACCATAGGTTGTGCTGGTGGAGGGGAAGGCTGTAACGCGCGTCGGCTCCTCTGTTGCGTGCCTGTGTCAGCGGGCACAGTGCTCCCCGTGAAAGTGAAAGTCAGGCTTCCTGTGCTTGGGAACCAGCAGGGACTGCAAGCATGAATTGTCTCAGGGGAAAAACTGACTTTTAGTGAACAATGTTGTAGTGTGAGTGGCAGCAGTGTCTTTGCAGGGAAATGAGCATGGGATTTAAGCACGCTTATGTGCTATGCAGAAAACACAGAGCCAATCAAGAGAAAAGTAAGGGGTCAAGTGAACTGGAAGAGAAATTCTGTATGGGAGTGGAGAGTTGCCAGTCAGTGTTGCAACTCATTCTGGGATGACCATCAATCAATAAATGGTATCAGAAATGGGTTGTTTGAAAAACTGCAAGTAGCTCTGGGCCATAAATCAAGTTTTGATGAAAGACAACAGAACAGCAGTTTCCTTATTATTTTGGATTTTCTTTTTGTGACATTTGTAGTTACAGCTAGCTAACCCCATGGCTTTTTATTGCTTTACCTAGGATGACTGCCTCTTAAAGGTTTGGTATCCTATGACTGGTTGGAAATCATCTCTTCTGCCCCAAGAGAATGAAGAAAAGAAAAAATGCTCAGGGGTTGTCCACTTCTCATTTGTATATTTGGCACATCCTCGAGCTGTCACAGGATTTTCATGGCGTAACATTAGCAAGTACATGCCCAGGTTCGGAAGTTTTATTTTTTAAAAAACCAAGGAAACCTTTGACCAAGTATTTTTAACACTTCACTTAAAGTTTGGCCATCAGAAGCATGATTAGATTTCTCTGCTTATACCTTCAAAAAATAAAACATATAAACATCTTCCCATAAGCTTCTGCATTAACTAGTACAATAGTGATAGTCATGTTAATAGGTGAGATTTTGGTCTAAAATACGATATAAACCAGTTCCTTCTCAAGTTACGCCAGGAAGCATGTCAGGATTTGTCTTCACCAGATGGTGCTATGCCATTGGAAATTAAAATATTTCTTTAGATTATTGGCATTTAGTAAGCTATTTTCTGCACCTTGCTGTGTATACTAGTGTTTAATTAGTTGTTCAGTTTCACTTTTCATTATTTAGTGAAACTTGTGCATTCTTCACATAGTCAGCTAGTTTAGGCAGTTTCACAATTGCCATTGTGTGTAACTGCTGCATTTACCAAGTAATAACCATTCCATGTTCACATGCACTTTTGCCAATAATCTATGGTTTATCAGCATGCCCAAAATCAAACCTTTAGCTAGAGAAGGGGCAGAAACTTGGATGAAACAGTAACTACTGAATACTTGTATACTCCGCTAATTTCTGCTGTGTCCACATAGCTAATTTAATTACATTAGGTAGTAACCTTGATATGTCTGTCATTAGGGGGTTGGTCTGTAATGTGTTACTCACATCATGTCTTGACGGCGTCTGTCGGCTCTGGGCAGAGACGTTGTTACCAGAAGATACCCTTCTCGGTGAGCAGATCTGTGAAACTAGCACTTCCAGCATTAGCAGCACCATGTCCCAGTCTGGAAAGCAAAAGGACAAAATACAGCATGCACTAGAGGTACAAATACTTATTTTGTCAATTTTTTATTTCAGGATTCTCAAAACTTACATATTTAAAGGATGTAGAACTCTAAGAATGTGTAGCTCTTAGAATTGTTTGCATTACTTCATATCAGTTTTGATAAACACTGAAGAAGTCGGAGACTTTGCAACTCTGCACCCAAGCTCCATATTCTTAAAACTAAATCTTCTTTTTCTATAGTTAGTTAATAGTAATGGGAAGAGACAATGTCTAACATGAAATAGTAAGCAATGGTTTCATTCTGACTGAGTCTGAAAGTCTATAGTTATAAAAACAGTAGAAGCAGTAATTAGTTTTTAGTTATCTGATTTGATAATTACATTTCCAAAAGGTAGTATTATGGGGCTCTGAATTTCATATCAAGTCTATTAAGTTTACAGTAAAAAAACCATACCATTATAAGAACAGGAAAAGGAAACACAAAAAGTATGACTACACCGCCACACATTTGTAGACTTACAATGAAGTCGACTTTTTACTTCTTACTTGTCATGGCCATCAACAAATAGGAAAGGTGAAACAAAGTCTGCTTTGGGCTGTTAATCTGCTACGCTCTCCACGTGCTTTCATCAATTTTCAGTTACACAAAAATAATTCATTATAAGATTATATTTCAAAAGTTACTGTCTTTAGATTGTTGCAATCCTGTTTATGAATGTTACACAAAATAATCTATATCTTTGTGCTGTTGTTGGAGCAGATATTAAAGGAACTTTGAGAAGACTGTTAGAAGAGCTGTGCCTTTGATGTGCATAAGTGTTAATCTCTGTTGAAATCTATTTAAAATAATCCTTTTGAAATTCACCCTCACTTCTTAAGTAGAAGGAAGTTAAAGCTTTAGGCTTTATATAAGTGTGGATTTTTACGTTACAGTTTTTTAGTATTTCTTAATTTATTTTTTGTAACTCTACCAGACAATTCACCATTTGAAAAATATGAGAAAAGGACAAAGGAGATCTTCAGTTCTTGTTACCCACACAGATGTATTGCCAGATCAACAGGGCACTCATGAAGTTCAGCGTCACATTTCACATCACGCGAATGCACTTGGTCACTTCCATATAGCAGCAAGCATCAACCCTAACACAGGTGAAATACAACCATTTCTTAAACTGTAATAATGTATTTGCACAGAGTGAAAACAGTAAAGGGAGCAAAGACACACACTCTTTGCTTTACCTAACTGAGTACAGGGCATTTGTAGGCAGACTGTTATTTCACAAGTCTGTTTCTTGGCATAGTGTTTTGTAAGACAAATGAGACTGAATTTATTCTGAATGGCTTCAACGTTTTTAAAAGGCAATTAAATTGATCTTTGCGCATGAGAAAGCAAAAGATACCCAAATTTCAAGTCTGCATGGCATTTGATTGTTGGGATTTGGGAGGCAGTGGTATATGGTGAATAGAGTATTTGGATCCTACAGAATATATAGTGAATGAGAAAAAAAAAAAAGCTATACAAGATTCTCGTGGTAGAAAGCCAGCAGAATATTTTAAATAAGGAAAAGCTTAGAGAACAATTATGTGCCATACCTAAAATCTGTACATAAAATGACAACACTGCAATATCTGAAACTGAGCAATTAGAACTGTTGAGTATCATTTATCAGTCACGTAAGAATCAATTTTTGTTTAAGTTTATTGATGTTAAAATGTTAGAACTGCATGTAGAAACTTGATCTCCTTACCTTTTCTAATCTTACAGGCACAAATTATGTTCTACTAAAATAAGTTACATGTCTGTAGAAATCTGTGTGCATATATATGTATAAAAGATAAGCAGTTATATATATATTTTTATTTGTTTTAAAATATCCACAGATATTCCATCAGTCTTGGCTGGAACAGCTTTTAATATAGATGAAGGAAATGGAGGCTTCGTTGTTCACTGGTTGAATAATAAAGAATTTAATTTTACATCCTCTATTGAAGTATTTATGCAGCATCTAAGAAAAATCTCTGAACAACTAGAACAAGATTTTGACATTGAGGTTGAAGAGGAAGAAGAAATGGAAGGAAAAGAGAAAGGTTTACATATGAAATTAGATCATGGTTAGTAATATTGAGTTATATAACACAAATTACTTTGAAGCATATTAATTAATACAATAATTAACACAGTTATTTAGCATGAGAATTTTAAGTGCTAACATTTTATCACTATTCTAAAATAAACAGACATATAAGACTGATACTGTGGCTGCAGTAATTGTAGGCATGACACATTCAGTATTATACTCTGGAATGCAATGGTGATATACACAGTGAAAAAGAAACGTAGCTTTTGTCTTTCATTCGCATTTTGGAGATATGTCACTGAGCTATGAAATTATGACTAAGACCTGCTCTCTATTGTCTTACAATCTGATTGTCAGTAATGACATACCAGTTTATGGCAAGCTTTAAGAAAGATTGCACGTAGCTTCATTTTAATGCAACTGCACTGTTTCCAGTACTGGTAAGATTTACGTCTTAAACCTTAGATCACCCGATGATCTCAAGGGAAGCCATTCACAAAAGAATGGAGAGACATATTTTGAAACTAGGGATGGAAAACATATCCTACTAGAAGTACTTTACATGGTGTCATTTATAATATTTAGGTTCTTAAAAATCTAGATTAGCAGTGCAGTAAAGTGTATGATAATGCTTACTGAATATGCAATATATACTACTTCATCAATGATCACATACAATGTATTTCATGATTACCTTCTAAATACAAAAAACTCCAATGGTTTAATTTGGAACTAGCGTTCATATAAGTTGTGTGGGTTTACACAGTTGACCAGAGTAATTTTAGGCAGGGCATTACTAAGCATCTGGATATTTACAGTTATGATTATTGTTATGTATAATTATAGTTAGAAGCAATAGTCAAAAGATAAGAGACTCGTATTTTTGTATAGAAGCACTGAAGAAAGCTGTTTCTACCCTCAGTGTTCATGAATGTTCTTATCTGATAGTACTTTAGCAGATCAAAAAGTATGGTTTTTTGAATAGAAACTGATAGGGAAATACTGCAATGGATAAAATTTCTTTTCTATTGCAGACTTGTCTATAGATAGAGAATCAGAGACAGGGACCGGTACAGGCTCTTCAGAACATGAAGATGGTGAAAGAGAGGGAAGCCCCAAAACATCTCTGCTAGCAGGCCCACGCATGCCTCTTCCGACAGTTTTGTTAGATCGGAAAATTGAGCTGCTCCTGACTGAGTGGAACAGAAACCCAGATATGCTTTTTACTATCCATCCTATTGATGGTACCTTTTTGGTGTGGCATGTGAAATATTTAGATGAATACACTCCAGGCATCTTTCGACAAGTTCAGGTATGGTATATTTGAAATTGTTTTATTATTTATTACCTTAATGAGCAACCATTGTGTCCCTTTTTTATCTCTGAATGTGATTATGAATTTAAGTACTTCCTGTGAAACAGGTAACATTTATTCAAATTTAAGCTGGACTGTTATATTCTAATTATTTATTTTTTCTTTTTTTAGGTTTCATTTTCTTCTAGGATTCCTGTTGCGTTTCCATCAGGAGATGCTAGTTCCCTTAGTAAAAATATTATGATGTATGCTTGCCCAATCTTTGTAATAGATAATAGTGATGCTGTACATCAGAAGACAGTGGACTTTCCAGATAACACTCTAGCAAATAAAGGACCAAGCTTCGCCCAAGACAGTGAAAATGTTAATATGATTTCTCCCATAGTAATGATGATTTCCAAACATATAGATGGCTCTCTAAATCAGTGGGCAGTTACGTTTGCTGATAAATCAGCTTTCACTACGGTGCTAACTGTATCACATAAATTTAGGTACTGTGGTCACCGTTTTCATCTCAATGATCTAGCTTGCCATTCTGTGTTACCGTTACTGCTAACATCTTCCCATCATAATGCCCTATTAACTCCTGAATCTGACAGTTCCTGGGACTCTGACAGGATAAACAGGATAATGGATCCTATTAAACATGCGAAAGGTTCTTCTAGGCAGCAACTTAAAAATGCAGCAACCCGTACGTTCCATGACCCAAATGCAATCTATAGTGAGCTGATTCTGTGGCGTGTAGACCCTATAGGACCTTTATCATACACTGGAGGAGTATCTGAACTGGCTCGAATTAACTCTCTGCATACCTCCGCTTTTTCTAACGTAGCCTGGCTTCCAACACTTATTCCCAGCTATTGCCTCGGTGAGTATACTTACCATGTTTCTGTGCAGTTAACATCATGCATCATAGAATTGTATTGTATTTGAAGTATATGTATATTAACTTCTTGGCAATTTCCTTGTATAATACAAATGAAGCATTTTTATTTCATTTGATGCCAAGCTACTTCAGAACATTGTTCTGGTCTGAGTGTGTCTGTAGCTACTTTGAATCAGATGACATTCAGTGATTTCTTCGAGTGAGTAAGCAATCAGCACTCTCACCAAGAGCAAAGCAATTCCTTTCCTCAGTGCTACAGGCAGCTTCACTGAGTGTTTCCTGTATTGACATGGTATTAATAATGCAGATGTTCTGATGACTTAGGCATCTGGGTTGTTGGCCACATACAGCTGCAGGAGGGTTGAACAGAACTAGTATTTGGACCTCCTGAACATCTGAATTATTGTGAAAGATTTTTCAGCCAAAACTTACAGTATCAAAATCTTAGAAGAACCTGAAGCAGTACCAACATTCTTCAGCCATCAGTAGTGTACAAAAGCCCAGTTAGAATAGAGTCTTATTAAAGAAATAGACTACATGGACTTTACAGAATTGCAAACAATACTTCCAAAGAAGTCAGGCAGTACATCATCTGATGTGTAACATTTTCGGACAATTTTTCAGGCTTTGTATTTAACTTTAGTGCTTTCTGCTGCAGTTAGGAAGATTGTCTCTACAAATGTTACTCTGTTCAGCCACTCAGATACTTATTTTTGAGTTATCATAAAGATACTGTTGTAGTAGTCATCATCTTTATATATAGTACTATGTCATTTGTGCTGTGGAAGTAACATTGAATTTTATACTAATAATGCCAGGTTATTTTATTATGCTAAGGCCAGTCTGACCTTTGCAATGATTAAATGGGTGTCAAGTATGTTGGACAACCTCAAAAATGCTAAATACACTTTAAAAATGCACAACATATCTTTGATTTAAAATAAAATAAAGCCATTTTCTCTGTTCATGTAGTAACATTCTATGCTGTCTGAAACCCACTGAGTCTTCTGAACACAAATAACTAGTTGCTTCCCTCTTAAAATGTAGGAGTAAAACATGGATCAGAATAGAAAATCTTTCATCAAGCCTGTAGAGCAGCAAAACTGACATTCTGTTACAGGTTTTCATACATTATTCACTACTACAGATATATTTCTCTCTCCACTTTTATATCTGCACTTTAACTGGAGGCTGGAATGGAATGTTCACAGAGGTTAATTTTATCTAAAGAGCCCTAGAGACAGTAAACAAGGAAAAAAGCTATAGCTAGTAAAGCTTTTCTGAACAGTTTACCTTAGACTCCAAAGTGTCTCTGACAACCCAGGGAAGCTAGAGTTTAGCCCTGCCGAGCAGCTCCCTGCAGGTAACTGTGAAGAGAGCATCACCACTTTAAGGAGTGGCAGCACTCCCTTGCTTCTTGCACGTGTGAAAATGTTTGTGAACATGTATGAATTCTGCTTAGATTATTCAACTTTTATGAGGAGTTTCAGTTACGTAAGTGAGCATGGAGTTGAAAGTTCAGATAATGGTGTTTTAATGCACACATTTGCTTAGGTTTTTTGTTTCAGTACTTGATGAAAATTATGTTAGACATATTCAGATATTGTGAAGTGGATTATAATACACTACCAGATGCCATTTAACTTCCATTTTTTTCTTTAACTGTGAATTCTTCGTGTTTTCTGTTAGGTACATACTGCAACTCTGCTAGTGCTTGCTTTGTTGCATCTGATGGCAAAAACCTGAGACTCTATCAAGCTGTGGTAGATGCACGAAAACTTTTAGATGAATTATCTGACCCTGAATCATCTGTAAGTTTTACATATCAATGGTATTAAAATAAAACTAGTTAAGGTAACTTCATAAACACATTATTCATAAGTACCAAAATGACAACAGAAAGAAGTCTGTTACAGTTTATGCCAACAAGGAAAATTAAAGCATCAGTTTATTGTAAATTACTGCAGTTTCCTTCTGTCCAAAGAAAAAAAATACACTAGCTCCTCTCATTTTTCTCTGTTTCAGAAACTGATTGGGGAAGTGTTCAACATTGTAAGCCAACAATCTACTGCCCGACCAGGATGCATTATTGAACTTGATGCAATAACTAACAAAGTAAATAAATGGTTAACTCTTTAAGGGTATCACATAAAAGTGTTTAATAGCTTTGTCTGTTAATTAACCTAATCTTTTGAAAAGAGGTAAGAGAGATGACGTTTCTCTACGGTGATAATAACTGCCTTGAATTTTTGTGAACATTGAGATACGCTGAATATCTAAGACAACTTTCTCTTAGCTGCTAGGAGCTCAAAACTCATTGTTAGAGTGTAATAATATTTTCTAAACATATGTCTTAATGAAAACAAAACTTAACTGAAGACTGGTTTACAAACCATCATAATTTGAGTGGAGAAGAAAGTAACAATCCCCCTAAACCCAAACAAACAAAAAGAACATGAAAAAAACCTCAAACCTAAGAATTAGACCTAACTATTCCAAAATGTACGAATCATAGCCATGTATGACTTCAGATTGGTTGGAGGTTTTATCTGTCTTGTAAGACAAATTTTTGTCTGCTAATACAGCTATACATTTCAAACTATGAGGAATTAGTATTATTATACCTTGTTCTTACTCACAGTTATTTTGATCATATGTGTTCCAGTGCTGTTAGGAAGCAACCTGTGAAAACAGTGTGTTTTACTGTTTCTTAATGAGACAAAATATTACAAAATATTTTTCTAGAATTTTTATGGATAAGTACAGGGAATTTACATGTTTCTCTGGAAAAAGAGGGTGTTTTGCAACTTGCCTTTGGGGGATATATTTTTACTTCCCTGCAAGAAAAGATTTCACTGCCAGCAGCCTCCTTTGTAGAGAGGTGGAAGGTACCACAAAGAAATCTGTTGCTGTCAAGAAGGACAGCTGTTGAGATACCCAAGAGATCGAAAATCTGCAATTCATTCCTTTTTTTTAGATTTCCCAAGCAATTCACTGCAAAGGTGTCTTACCACTGAAGAGCAATAAAAGTCTAAGAGTTTTTGCCATTATCATTTATTCAACACCTAATGGTTCTGGAATAGGCTGTTCTTAATATGAGGAAAATGCTTAATTTGAATTAAAATCTCAACATTATAAAAGAAAAGTGATCCTCATTGACAGATAGATTGCACAAAAGAAATAATTGCATTAATACAAAATATTGCTATATTGTTCTAGCGATATAACTATTGCTTAATGTTTCAGTGTGGCTCAAACACACAATTGCTCCATGTCTTTCAAGAAGACTTCATTTTGGGATACAGACCACATAAGGAAGATGCAGAAGGGAAGGAAACTGAGATATTTTTCCAGCCATCACAAGGTATAGCATGAAAATAATATGAATGAAGTAGGTACCAAAAATATTCTTGCACAATACTGAAATCTCTCTTTTAATGAGAATCTCTACAACACAGGTTGCTCATATGGTAACAGTATTAAACAAAGGCATTCTAATTTGCTAAGAGTGAAACATATTAACTTATATGACAAAGTCTATTTTTCAAAAGGCTTTATGTTTATATAAAAATGTATACAAAATTGAACAAATATTTTCTGCATTAATATGTATTTCCAGGTGAATATATTCAGGTGAATATGTATTTCCAGGTGAATATATCTGACTTCCAAATTAATACAACAGAAAGTAACTGGGGAATTCAGTGGTAGACTTCAAATTTTACAGGAAAAAGGAAGAGATCAGGCAGGTGGAAAAGCATCTTCATAATACAGCAAAATAGTTCAAACTGACTGGGAGGGCAATATATATATATCTCATATATACCTACGCACACATATATATATAAAATAAATGAGATTTGCCACTAATACTCAGATATTAAGTCAGTCTCTTTTCATAACTGTTCTTTAGCCATGAGCAAACAAAATGTTGATTAAAAAAATGTTATTAATGGTAGTGTTTGAATACTTTGTTCTATAATAAAGCATTTTCCTCTTTGAAAGAGGAAAATGGAGTTTAGTATCAATAATTTTAGAGTTATTTTGTTATTGAAAAGTATTTATTTGAACATGAACTTCATGATACTGATAATATGTTTAAATTACAGGATATCGTCCACCACCTTTCTCAGAAAAGTTCTACCTTGTAGTAATTGAAAAAGACAGTAACGGCTGCTCTCTTCTCCAGATGTGGCATCTTCATCTCAAATCTGTGCAAGCCTGTTTAGGTGAGTGAGTGACGAATTTTCTCAGAGACATTTTCTCTCAGACATTTTAAAACAAATTGTTTCACCTTTGTCAAGCAGAAGCCTCAAAATCAGGAATCTTCAGCGTAATTTTTCAATGCAATAGAAACAGCAAGATTTCTTACAAACATTGAGTTGCATTCTATACCAACAACAATATAAAAATGTAATAGGGAAAAGTACCTAAGCACTGGCTTCTGTATTTTAAACTGTCAGTATTTCAGCGCATTATAGGTCAAATGAATAGTCAGAGCATGCAATAAAACTAACGCAGCCTGTCTATGTTATATAATTGTTTCTATGTAACTTAAGCATTGCTAAATTAAATAAACACAGAATATTTAAGCCTTACTCCTAAACATTTTTAACTCTGGCAATTTTTTTCCATATATATATATATATAGCAAAACCAACTGAAGCCACTTCATCAGAGTATAAGCTTAGTGTACCTGAGCAGAAGACTGTGGATTCTTCTCCAGATATATCACCTGGCATAAGTCCCATTCCACGATCTTCATCAATTGCTAATCTTCAGACTGCTAGTAAACTCATTCTGAGCTCCAGGCTTGTGTATAGTCAACCTCTGGATCTTCCTCTTGGTGTAGAAGTAGTAAGAGCAACTCCTTCAGCGGGTAAATTTAATATTTTTATTTCTATCAAGTTGGTCCACTGATTTACCCTCCTCATTTATAAGATTGTGTCTCCTCAGCCTGTCACATTCTGATTTACTTATACAGGGAACATGGGTCTAGAAAGGGTTCCTCCAATCATTGTGTCCATGTCACATTACCCTTTCATAAATATATCAAGTCCCCAGAGGAAAGCTGTTTCTGAAACTTCCTGCTCTAATAGTTGGAAACTTAACTTCTAGTCTTTATTAATTCAAACCTTCTTGTTCATCTGCCAGCATTAAGATGTTGGCTCTAATGCTTTTTTTTTTTCCCCCCAATACACTTATGCTGTCTTCTGGTTTTGTCTGTCTTCTGTCTTTTTTTTCCCCCTTCCCTCTTAAGTTTCATTTTGGTAGGCTATAGGAACTTAGTCTTAACTTCCTTAATCTCATATGATTAAGGCTCTGTATTTCTCCTATTATTCTAACAACCGTCTCTGACTTAGTTCAGTTGTAGCTTGTCTTCTTTGAATAGTGACCAGAAATGCAGGTAATCACTAATGTTCAAGCTGCAAAACTGTTACCAGTCTCAACACAGTCTTACACAGTGTTATGTCTGCCCTATTCGAAGGGGCATTCTACTTTATATTACTAAAAGTAACCCTGTGTGTTCTAACTTCAGGTCACCTGAGTTCTTCATCAATATACCCAGTCTGCCTTGCACCTTATTTGATAGTAACATCATGTTCAGACAACAGAGTGCGCTTTTGGAGATGTACTGTAGAGACAGACGAAAACAGCAAAAACGAAGAAAGGGAAACATATCATTGGAGAAAATGGCCTTTAATGAATGATGAAGGAGGAGACAACAGCAGTACCGTGAGCATAGTAGGAAGGCCAGTTGCTGTTAGCTGTTCTTACACAGGCCGTCTTGCAGTAGCGTACAAACAACTCATACAGCATAACGGTTTTGTTTCCAAAGAATTTTCCATGCATGTTTGTATACTTGAGTGTGAGTCAACAGGAGGATCAGAATGGGTTTTGGAACAGACTATTCATCTGGATGATTTAGTTAAGGTTGGAAGCGTACTTGATTCAAGGGTCAGTGTAGATAGTAATTTATTTGTTTACAGTAAATCAGATGCTTTTTTGAATAAAGACAAATACCTGGTGCCTAGTATCAAGCATTTGGTGCATTTGGACTGGGTATCAAAAGAAGATGGTTCACATATCTTGACAGTTGGAGTTGGTGCCAACATCTTCATGTATGGAAGGCTTTCAGGAATTGTAACAGATCAAACAAGCAGCAAAGAGGGAGTAGCTGTCATTACGTTACCACTAGGTGGCAGCATAAAACAAGGTATAAAGTCAAAGTGGGTGTTGCTTAGATCAATTGATTTGGTATCCTCTGTAGACGGCACTCCTTCCCTGCCTGTTTCTCTGTCCTGGGTGAGAGATGGCATACTGGTAGTGGGAATGGACTGTGAAATGCATGTTTATGCCCAGTGGAAACACGCTGTCAAGTTTGGTGATGGAGAAAGTGATGTATTTACTACTGAAGATGCAACAACACAAGATCCACTCAAAACAAGCTTGATAGCGAAGAAGACCAGTGTAATTGATGGAGCAGGCATTGTGGATGATGTTTTTGGCACTCCAACTGTAATTCAGGATGGTGGCCTTTTTGAAGCTGCTCATGTTCTTTCACCTACTCTACCCCAGTATCATCCAACCCAGCTATTAGAACTTATGGATCTGGGTAAAGTTCGCCGAGCCAAAGCCATTCTATCTCATTTAGTTAAATGCATTGCAGGAGAAGTTGCAATAGTTAAAGACACAGAAGCTGGAGAAGGAACTGGTCCTAAACGCCATCTTTCTCGCACCATTAGTGTAAGTGGTAGTACTGCAAAGGATACCATCACAGCTGGAAAAGATGGTACTCGAGACTACACAGAGATAGACTCAATTCCCCCACTGCCACTGTATGCACTGCTTGCTGCAGATCAGGATGCCACTTACGTTTCTGAAGAAACCTCTAAAATACCTCAGGGCTCTGAAGATCATGCTAAGAGAAAAACAGAGGATCAGTACTCAGATCTATTCCAGATTCAGCCTGTTACAACTGAAGACTTTATTGATTTTGAGCCTGAAAAGAGGGAGAATAAATCCAAAGTTATTAATCTGTCACAGTATGGTCCAACTTACTTTGGCCGAGAACATGCTAGTGTCCTTTCAAGCCACCTGATGCACTCAAGTCTGCCAGGCCTCACTCGACTGGAGCAGATGTTCCTTGTAGCTTTGGCAGACACTGTGGCCACGACAAGCACTGAACTGGATGAGAACAGAGACAAGAATTACTCAGGTTAGTAACTGACATATTACTGAATTAACATTTTTGTTCTTAGCAAAGGTCAACCTAGTTCTTGAGTGTTTTGGGATAACAAAGCTGAAAGCTAGCATCAGATTAGGCTAGTTATTAGATAGCTTCTGACATTTATTTAGTAGCCAGCCTTAACCCTTGACAAGTAAGAAAGAAAAGCACAAATACAAACCTCTACTTATTTCATACATAATAAATAACTTGCAGTTCAGGTTCTCAGCAAGTTTAGAAACCTACATTCCCCATACATTGCAAATGATAAGTTGTATATATGACTCTTGTAGTCAACTGCATGTTCAAAAGTGTGTATTTTATGTTGCACAGGAAGAGATACCTTAGATGAATGTGGCTTACGATATTTGTTGGCTATGCGCTTGCACACTTGCCTTCTGACATCACTCCCACCTCTGTATAGAGTTCAGCTGCTTCACCAAGGTAATTCTTTGAGAAAAGTATTGTTTGCACTTGACCTGACAGGATCAGGTTATGTCTGATTTCTAACATTATGATATTTCTATTATCTCCATGTTCATTTTAGATTATATCTATTCCATTAAGGCACGTATCTTGCTAAGGCTTATCCTGTATGCACTGTGAATAGCAAAAAAAAAGTATAGCTCTAGAACAGAAGGAAGATTCTGCCCCATTCAGTTTGAGGCATGAATAAGTTCCCCAACCAGAAAACATACAGATTGTGTATATATTTCATTGTTTCTGCCAGATAAATTAAAATATTGCTTTACATAAGCATGGCTTTGCCTTACCTTAAAGATTATTTTACTATTGTCATCACAGCAAGTTTTTTCCCCTTGCTCAGTCTGAGCACATGCTGTTGTGAAATACAGGAAAGAAAAGCAGTTACCACCTCAACAGCAGACAGAAAAGTTTCTGGCACAGAATGGGTCTGCCTCTGCAGTAACAGAATATTTTTCCTTCAGTCTTTCACCATCTAACCCTAGTACATATATGAATGGCATACTGGAAAGTGATGGACGAAACACTGAGGACAGCTCTAGCAAGCAAAAAGATATTCCAGCTGTTCCTTTAGCAGCCCCGCTTTCTGCTGAGAGAAACAGCCTCTTTCAGATCTGCCTAACTCTTGGTCCCACTCTGTATCTTGGACATATTCCATTTGCTTATTAACAAGTCTGAATCTTTTGAATTTTTTATGTTATTTTTTAGGCCTGTCTACATGCCATTTCGCATGGGCTTTTCATTCAGAGGCAGAGGAGGAGTTGATAAATATGATTCCTGCTATCCAGAAGGGAGACCCGCAGTGGTCTGAGTTAAGAGCTATGGGTATTGGTTGGTGGGTCAGGAACATCAACACGCTCCGAAGGTGCATTGAGAAGGTACCTTTTATTGCTTACAAATGTGCAGTTCCATGCTGTTCGGTACGCCTTAACGGAGTCACACCGACTTGGACATAGCAGATTCCTTTACTCGAGCCCAGACAGGAGACTGCATAACTAGTTTCTATGCCAACTGGCTTACAAATTTTGTTATTCAGTAGCAAGATAGAATACAATTGGTCTAAGGAAAAGCCATTTCTGAAGTACCTAATTTCCCCTCCCTCCATATTTTACAGTATGTTAAAGATCATATGAAGTAATCTTACTGTAAAAATTGTTTTTAGATATGAGACAGTAGATATCTATATAACAGGGAATTATGCTGTGAGTTCAGGAGTGGGTTTTATTTAAGAAATATATGGAAAAATCTTAGTCAGTAGAACTATATAGAGAACATAAAAGATCTAAACTGCAAATAAATGCACGTTTTAGTTTTCTGAAGAGTTGCAAAATTACAGCTTTATAGAAACAACATCTATATTATATAAAACCAAAATAGCAACAAATCTCATTTGCATGCGGTTTTCTTATGGGAGCTCTAATGGATAAAATGCAATATATTTTGGGGATAGTATCTAAAACTGTTTCCCATAGGTACCAATGCTTTAATAAAAATTTCAGCTTTCTTGTACCTTAAAGATTGATGCATTTGAATAATTACTAGCTTCTGCTTTGAATTACAACAAATAATGCAAACTTTGTAATGTCTGTGAAACAGAAGTACTTACTAGTGTATTAAATTTCCAAGTCATCTGTTTTAAAAATCCATTTTAAAAAGTTACAAGATACTGAAGGAATCCATGAGCAAAATTTAATTATCCTAGTACCTTGAATCAAATGCAATTACATCTGAGTCCTTTACAAAAAAAAAAAGTAGTAGTCATTAAAGAAATACTTGTATTAGCTTAACTACATGTAAATAGTGGCTTGCAAGAGGAATTTCACCTAATAGTATGACTTACTGTAACACTTTTAAAGAAAATATTTTTATTTGTACATTTGTAATATCCTGCTGTGGTTGAGATGTTTTAGTATCTGCAGTAGTGCTGTTGTTCCGACTCTTAAGATCATTGACAGTGTAATGAGAGCTGTCACATATGAATAAAACATTCTGTCAGAAATTACTGTTGCTTTCTAGAAATAAGTTACCCAGACCATCCTTCCTGACAGAGAACATGTTATTTAGCTAAAAGCAGTATTGATATTTTCCATAATAATAGTAGGTTTTGTTTACTACAGGTTGCAAAAGCTTCATTCCAGAGGAACAATGATGCCTTAGATGCTGCACTTTTTTACCTTGCTATGAAGAAAAAGGCAGTGGTGTGGGGTCTGTTTAGGTGAGTTCTGCTACCTCTAAGTATGGTTAAATCTTAATTGAACCAGGAATGCAAAACAGAACTCGTTCAGGATTAGAGTTGAAATTAAAGCAACGTTGTCTAAGTGACTGTACGCAAAGGTATAGAATTAGTTGTATACATTGCCTTTCTTTCTGCAGGTCCCAGCATGACGAAAAGATGACTGCCTTTTTCAGCCACAACTTCAGTGAAGATAGATGGCGCAAAGCTGCTTTAAAAAATGCTTTTGCTTTGTTGGGAAAACAACGCTTTGAACAATCAGCTGCGTTTTTCTTGCTAGCAGGTTCACTGAAAGATGCTATAGAGGTATCTGCTTTCAAGAAGTTATCAGTTTCTAATCTGACCTATGTAACAGCATCCTCACAAGGTGTTATCTGCTGAAGTTTTCACTAATTGTGGCAGCACAAATGGTATGCTGTGTCCACACGTGACCCCCTTAGGCCCTGCAGACATACCATTTGTTTCCACACTACTGTAAAAAGCAGCTTGGAAGCTGATCTGGGGGCCAGAATAGTTGTGCAGATACATCAGTCGTCAGTGGAAGCTCTCTTGGGAATACCAGTCATGACTCTTCTGGCAAAACTCAAATGTTTCATCAGCACAGTTCAGTTGTAGCACTCTGTTCAGCCTCCAGCTATTGTGCATAATCTGTCGTTACAAAATCAAGTAGAAAAAGAAGCAGCCCTAGGATCCCTTTTTAGCAAAGCAGGGATGTTGCCTGCCACAAGGGAGGTGAGAGATGTAAGCAGGATCATAACCTAAACAGTACCTCTCCAGAGAGAATGAGAATCAAAACCTTTAGCCTGCCTATTTATATGCAGTATGTGTGTCTTTACCTGAGAACATACAAAAATTTTCTTGGAGATATAATTCTGCAGATGAAACTGTGTGAAGAATATGTATTAATGTTAAAGTTTTTATTCTACTAGGTAGAATAAAAAGAAACGTCTTTACTTCTGCCATGTTATTTTTTTTCACGTGCTACTGTGCTGCTATGCATAATTCCTGAAATAGAAGAAAGTCCACCTCTTTCCAAAAAATGTTACTTATATATACCACTTACAACATTTTTTAGCCCAATAATAAATATATGCTTTAAAGAATAAATATAATGAGAAAAAAAGTTATCTGTTTTGTAAATATATATTGCTATTCACTTCATTGTTATTTTAAAGAACTACCTTTCCTTCATAAAGCAATCTTTTCCCCACTTCTGATCATAGGTGTGCCTTGAGAAAATGGAAGACATCCAGCTGGCTATGGTTATTGCTCGTTTATATGAATCGGAGTTTGAAACCTCTGTCACATACACCTCCATTCTCTATGAAAAGATTTTGGGTTGCAATAAGGATGGAGCTGGGTTCAGCTGTACTAGATTACATTCTGATCCATTTCTGCGAAGCATTGCATACTGGATAGTGAAAGATTACACTAGAGCACTGGACACGTTATTGGAACAAACACCTAAAGATGATGATGAAAACCCAGGTAAGGGAAAAATATTAGTCTGATGGGACAAACTTCTTACGACAAACTAGAGGAGAAATACTTTATGTGTATGAATGCAGTTCCTTCTCTGGAGATGTCATTATGCCGAAATCATTGTACTGGCCTGCTCAGTTTCTGTTTCTTAAAAAAATTCTTCTCCAATTTCTTCCAAGGATTTGTCTTGAACCCCTCAGTATCAAACTTAGTTCTGCTGTCAGGAGCTCAGGAGGGCCTTTTTTGTTTGATCCTTCCCTACAGTGCCTCTCTCTGTTACTGAATGCTGGCTAGTCCTTATTCCAGAGGACTTAAATTTTCATACTTGCTTCTAGGAATTAGCAATGTTCTACCAGAATTTCCCATCCTGTTATCAAGTGTCCGGTAACTACCTAGGTTTCTGTGGCATATTCCCTCCCTTGGGGAAATCTCCACGTGGCTGATCACCTCAGCTCTTTTTTTAGGCTTAGCTCAGTGGAATGTAACTGCAAGGAAAATGAGAGAATTTAGTATCTTTCTACTCATGCAGCTCATACCTTTAATCTTTTTGTGGGTTATAAGTAATTCTCTCATTTTGTTTTGGCAACTAGAACCAAAACTGTCTTTGTGTTTGGACAAATCTCTGTAATGCGGGAAATACTGCAAAACTGAATAACAACATTTAAAAGCCATCTTCAATTGATGTCGTATCTGTTTAATTCCTTAGTTATTGTCAAGTCATGCAATCCTGTGGTGTTCAGTTTTTACAATTACCTTCGGACTCACCCTTTGCTCATCCGAAGATACTTCAGTTCACCAGAAGGGACTTTGGCCACCTTAGGTCTAAAAACTGAGAAAAGCTTTGTTGATAAAATTAATCTTATAGAAAGAAAATTATTCTTCACTACTGCAAACGCTCATTTTAAAGTCGGCTGCCCTGTACTAGCTCTTGAAGTCCTTTCCAAAATTCCAAAAGTAAGAAAAAAGTCTACTGTAGCTGCAGAGAAAGAGTCGTCTAGTCCTCCAACAGAGGCTGGTGTTTCAGATTCCAGAGGCCCAGGGGATGGTGCTGGAAGTGGTGATATAGACTGGTCAAAGCCAATTTCAACTTCTTTAGCTTTGGAAAATACTTTTGAATCTTCAGCACAATTTGACTGGAGTCAGCCAGCAGTAAAATTTGATGATGAGCCCCTTACTCTTGACTGGGGTGAAGACAAAAATGAGTCAGACGAAGAGGACAAGGATGTTGGTATCATGATGAAAGATGCAAAATCTGATTCTAAAAGTGGAGAAAATGATGAGAGAACCTTAGACAGCAACATTCCACAAACACCAGAGATTTCTGATTCAGGAGAGACTGAGGTTGATGTTATTGCTGAACAACTGAAGTTCAGAGCCTGTTTGAAGATCCTGATGACCGAACTGCGGACTTTGGCTACAGGTTATGAAGTAGATGGAGGAAAGCTCAGATTTCAGCTGTACAATTGGCTTGAAAAAGAGATTGCTGCTATGCATGAAATATGCAACCATGATGCAGGGGGCAAAGACTATTGTAAAACATATACCAAAGTAAGTGGGGATCTACTTGATCACGATGATATTACGGACAAGCCAGACATTGGTTCATATGAACGGCACCAGATAGAAAGACGTAGGTTACAAGCAAAACGAGAGCATGCTGAGAGACGAAAGTGGTGGCTGCAGAAGAACCAAGCCCTTCTAAGAGTTTTTCTAAGTTACTGTAGTCTTCATGGGGCGCAAGGTGGTGGTTTAGCATCTGTGAGAATGGAGCTGAAGTTCTTGCTGCAAGAGTCACAGCAGGTAACACAAATTAAACTAATTTCTTTTCACAAACATGAACAGTTCTGGACTGTCAGTTTTGCCAAATGCTTAAGTTTGTGCCTAGACAGATGCTTCTTACGTTCTGGAAGTCTAATGGTCGAGATCATTTTAGTATTTTTGAAAAAAAGAGTCTTGGTATTTAAGCATGTTGCTTCTCTGCATCCTGATTATTTGTTTCTTAAGAACTTGTTATATGACATTGAGGATTAGGTTACCTACAATTACGGAAAGTAAATGGTGCTGTTTATATTATAGCTGCAGCATTACATATGTGTTCCAATGAAATCAGAATATTCTGGGTACGTATATAATAAATAAAATTACGTTTGCCAAAATGTGGCAAAATCTCATCCCGTACACCTCTGCAAATCATGGAAGATTGCTACAAAGAATAGGATTTTAGCTGCAAGGCTGAACAAATACCAAATCAGACATGCTCCCTTTTCCTATATTACAGCATTTTCTGCATTTAATTCATACAAAAAGAGAGCAAATGTTAATGCCTAACCTGAGCTACAGCAGATAATCTGATACTGGGCAAGTCATTTAGCTTGTTCTAGTCCTAGTTACCTCGCATTTCAAATAGGAGCAGCACACAACTGTTTCAGTGGTACTAGGCTTAGCAAGTACTTTTAAGAATAAAAGTATAATTGTTTCCACTTGAGAAACTCAGATTTGTACAAATTTGACTTCTGTTATTAGACCAGTGAATGTTCTGTTAACTTCTGCTACTGCAAGTGCATTTTTAGTTAGTGTTTCTTAATAGAAAGTCCCAGAATTTCCTAGTGAACTACCTAAAAACATTCTTCCTGCATTAAATCAAAATGTGTTTCAGCAAAGTTGGCTGTTAGGTCTCATCTATGTTATTAAAGTAAATTAAAACTTTTGACATCAGTCACAGTAAAATCTTGTCTGTACAGAGTAGTCAGCAGTGGAAGAGGATAAATGACCCTGGAAAAAGCATTGAAGATGTAAAATTATTTTTAAATATTTTTTTTACCTCAAAGCAGTAACTTTAAATACAATATTTTCTTTTTAACAGGAAACTACTGTAAAACAACTTCAGTCTCCACTTCCATTACCTACAACACTACCGTTGCTTTCTGCAAGTATAGCATCCACAAAAACTGTGATAGCTAATCCTGTGCTGTATTTAAACAACCACATCCATGATATTCTCTACACTATTGTGCAGATGAAATCACCACCACATCCTAATATTGAAGATGTTAAGGTAATGAAAAGCTTTCAGGAAATGGTAAATGATTTTTTTTTTTAATAAAATGGGAGAGAGAGCATGCAAAAAATAAAGTTTGAGTTAACTTTTCAACACTTACCCGTTTCACAACACTGACTTTCTCCTTTATGCCTGGCAAACTTAAAATGCTAGTTAACCACTTGCTTTCTGAGATCTTTTTGAATCCTTTTAGTTTCCTTTCATCCAAATTCTGGTCATTCTCAGAAAATACTCCAAATGTGAATGTTTAAAACACTGAATTCTTGGCTCTTACAACAATATGATCCTGTAAATTACCTAATTATTATAATTTTGGTCAAATCCCTTAGGGAGATTAATGAAAGTAGAGGTGGGAGACAGCAAGTTACATTACAACCTTCTATTAATATATACGATATAAACCTTACTCTAGCGTGAATTCCCTCAAGTGTACTGGGTTTTAAGGAATTGTGGTGCATTACTTCATCTGACTCCATACTTAGGGGTGAATAAAATCAGATTCAGTAAATAGAGGGGCAGGGGAAAAGCCAAAGAGCCTGACACTGTGACACAGTTAATTAGTTAGAAGCTAAATCATTATTCTGTACATTTAGATCAATATTCATTAAATTAATTTGAATTTCTCTTGACTAAATGAAAGCAGGGAAAATTAGGAAACGTAATGCGTTGTTCCCTGCAAGGCAGTTAGTTTCTAAAACTGTAACCCAAGCTCATTTACATATCAGTTCTTTCAGTTGACTCATTTTCTGTCCTGCATTATGCTACAGCAAGCATCTTTCTTACTCTAAAAACTCCACATGCATTTTCTTTTAAAAGAGAATTCAGAAAGAAGAGCTGACACCTCCTAACTGCAAAATAACTATTTAGATAATTCATGGTTTTAATCAAAGGTCCGGCATTTGATTAAATGGAAGGATGGTAGGAAAAGATGGAAATGAGCAGAGGGTGTGTTTAAAAAAGCTGACATTTTTAGCAGTTTGACAGTACCTTTTTCTTCTCACTGTGGATTTCATCAGACTTTCCCAGAAACCCTTGTTTTCTTCTGTTTAAGAAATAGGAGTGTTTCTCTTGCATTGTGAGGCAATAACAAAGTATTATTATTGTTACTTCTGGAGACTTCTGGAAATTTATAAGCACGTAACTGATGTGAAATATTACAGATGAAACAGTCGTGCAATGACTACACAAACTTGTGTATTTTATGCATATTGAGCAGCTCTTACTACACTCAACTGCAATGTTATATGGCTCCCAGGAACCATTCTATCAAATTAATTATCATAACAGGACATACTTAATCACTCCTTCAGTATACTCATTTGTGGTGGCAGTTCTACATTAGAATACAGTCAATTATCTTGACATAATATTAGAAAGTTTTCACTGCAACCAAATGATCTTGAAGAAGCAGCTGTAGCATAAACTTAAAATAACATTACTATTTCTCACACTTGGTTTAAACTAGGACATTCCTGCAAAATACATTTCCAATGCTGTTTAGAAAGAATTGTAGCTTACTCACCTTTTATGTAAAACTTACGTATTGCTTATCGACTCTTTCTTTTAGGTGTACACACTTCATTCTTTAGCAGCTTCACTTTCTGCATCCATTTATCAAGCATTATGTGACAGCCATAGCTACAGGTAAAAACAAAGTTTTCTTACAGTCCTACATTTGAAGTAAAATTTGTGTATCCAAAATGGAAATTCTTCATGCCTGTGTCTAAAAATGGGGTTAAATATCATATAGATGCTTATACAGTTTACGCATTGCTAGCTTCGATATGCCAGATCAGTTTTACACAGATGAAGTGACAGCAATCGTTCAGATTTTTTCCAATAAATAATAGGAAAATCTGGTGTCAGTCTCACTTGGGATGCTTCTGAAAAATATCTGAATGCTGTTTTTCACAGCACATTCATTGCTGAATAGGGGTTGAAAGAAAACAATTGCACTTAACTGAAGTCAGGTCTTCAGCCGTTCATATTCCTAACTGGAACTGGAACAGAATGCTGCAAAAACATTTTTAAAAATTTCTTCAGAACAAGTATGTTATTGAAATCTTTGAAAAAGCCCTTTACACATCTGGATCTGTGCATGTAACATTAAAATTGATAATAGTACATGGAAACGTTTCCATTTTTAACTAGAAAAAAAAAGTTGTTTGTATCATATTTGTGAAATTATAAAATTCTTGACTTAGTCCTGTAGAATTTTAGACATTGCATTTTCTGATTAAAACGAAAAGCATGTATGTATACTATACTAAAATATACAATACTTTCTCACTGTAATTTGTATTTAGCAGTCAAACAGAAGCAAATCAGTTTACAGGGATGGTTTATCAAGGACTGCTTTTGAGTGATCGACGCAGACTGAGGACAGAGAGTATTGAAGAGCATGCAACTCCAAATTCATCTCCTGCTCAATGGCCTGGTGAGACAAAATTGGGGTTACTTTTAGCACCACTGGACCAGCGCCACATTTCAAAATTATTGCACTGTCCTGTAGTATGATGGATGAAATTATATGGAAACATCTTGCTTGAAGAAGAAACAACAATCTTTAGGACAAATTCAACAAGCTCGTGATTTGTCATCCTGAAATGTTTTTCTCCAGTCTGCCTGATCCCCTAGCAAATGTGTTTATTAGCTGTTTCTCCCATACTGTGTTTACATAGTTTAGCTATTTAAGCTACTACTCCCAATGCACAAGCATAAATTTAATATTTTGAGGTCAGTTGTGGAATTAGTGCAGGAATTTCACAGGCAAGCTGAGCTGCCCATCATATGTGCAGAGGGGTACAATGCAGAAGTCCTAGACCCAGGAGGGTTGTTTTCATTTTGATCTTTATGACTTCAAGCAAAAATTTAATAGTACGTTTCATCTGAATTAAAAGCATCACATGGCTATTAGTATATGCTTAATATAAAACACAGAGGTGAAACATTCCCTTTTTTTCCAATCATACTCTTAATGTGTTTAACATAGAGCTTCTCCTTCTCTTTGCAGGTGTGAGTTCACTTATAAATCTCTTAAGTTCAGCTCAGGATGAAGATCAACCAAAGTTAAACATCCTACTTTGTGAAGCTGTTGTAGCTGTCTACCTAAGTCTCCTTATACACGCCCTTGCAACAAATTCATGCAATGAATTATTTCGACTAGCAGCCCATCCTTTGAACAGTCGAATGTGGGCTGCTGTGTTTGGTGGAGGAGTGAAACTTCTTGTAAAACCTCGAAGGCAGTCAGAAAATATTCCAGGTACTTTGTTCTCTGAAGGACATACTAGTGATTTACATTTGATACCTTTTAGTAACCTAATAGGAGAGGTTTCTTTCCTTTAAAAAAAAACAAAACCAAGCAAGCAGAATTTAAGTATCTACTGGCAAGAAAACTGTTATATTAATTAAAAAGCAGAAAAAAGTATTAGTCTTACAGTTGTCCTTTGTATTGACATCACATTTTGAATTTGCCATAAAAACTGTACTATTTGATACTTAGTTGTAACATTTTTCAGGACTTTTAGACATTATTTTTCAGTGAAAAGGCAGATTTCAAAAATCAGTGTTAATGCCTGTATTTTTCTGTATGAGAGAGATGAGTGTTATTGTTTAACAAATGCAGTAACTAGGAAACGGTATTTCTGAGACCAGTTTCTGTTGCAAGATAGGATTTCACCTTGCACAAGACCACAGAGAAGAAATACCAACTCCATCTGTAAGAAAAATAGTTCATGTGTTTGTAAGCTCCTATGAAAACTAGCAATTTGGCAAAGACAGATGAGCATGTCTTAATATACTGCATGAGGAAATGTAACAGTAGAGATTGAGTTGAGTGGAGACAAAGGCAAATACAACGATTTGTCATAGACCTCACCCTGCAACAATACTCAAAAAAACACCTCGTACACTTTCAAAATGGCAATAGGCTCGAAACTTAGGCAAAAATTAAATGTTCCCTTCTGAAATACAAAACACCATTATAAGTATACACAACAGATATTTGTCATTCATGGAATAATTTAAACTCATTTAAGGGCAGTTACTTCCACAAGATGTTAGTGTGAATAACTTATATAAAATCATGTCTTCATTTGAGATGTATTCTGTTTTCCTTTAACCTACAAGCTGCTACAGCTTCTGATGTTTCAGAGGATGGTAATGAAGGTTTGTGAAAACTTGCAGTGTAGATGAATGTAGTAGTGGCTTTTTAAAAAAAAAAAAACATTTTAAATATCTAGCTACTTTGTAATAAAGTAAGTGTGATCTTCAATGTAGCCTGGCCAATAACACTTAGAAAAGCAAATTCTACGTTAATATTTTATTAACCATTAAGACATTTAAAATCCTAACACTTTAAACCAGACTTTAGTTGTCAAAAAGCCTGTCTCTCTATTTAAATTTTCTTTGCAATCTTTATTCCTTGGCTTGTATTTTGAAAAACTACTGCTACTTGAGGAGTTGTTTAGTGACATTTTATATATTACTTTTCTTTTTCAACCACATTTCTCAGTTTCTTTATTGAGAATTTTTTTAGCTAAAAGCCTTTTACTTAAAAGCTACATTTCCTTAATCCATGATATATCCAATGTATAGATGTCACTGTTACTTTGCATTTGTCATCAGTGAACTTTTTGTCTGATTACACTTACTTTATGTAGGCTGGCTTTGATTTCTGAACCAGTAGAAATTAGTACCAATAACAATGGTTTTAATTGCTTAAATTATAAAACACAGCCCTTTCTCTAAAGATGCAATATTAATATCAGCTTCTCAAATTACCTGAATTTAGCACCACCTCTTCCATCAGAAGAAATGGATAAACATCGCCGTCGGTTTAATATGCGAATGCTTGTGCCGGGAAGACCGGTGAAAGATAGCACGGTACCGCCCCCTGTACCTGCAGAGCGACCCTCTTACAAAGAAAAGTTTATCCCTCCAGAGCTCAGCATGTGGGATTACTTTATGGCAAAGGTAATTTAAAATGGCAAATGGAAGTTACAGTTCATAAAAGCATATTTCTTCTCTGTTAAGTTTTAAAGGACAAAAATAGTGTGCAAATTTCAATGACTTTTCATAGTAAGCTGCAGAATATTATTCTTGTAATTAAATGTGAAAAGCCTATTACTTAACTTTCAAAACATGTCTCTTGCCAATAATACAGATTAACACTTTTTCCCTTGCTACTTGTGCATGTGTTAGGGAAATGTAAAAGTTAAGTTGTTGCTACTTTAGAGATCAGAAAATTGCTTTTATAGCAGACCTTTACTTTGTATTGCAGCCATTTCTTCCTTTATCAGACAGCGGTGTTATATACGATTCTGATGAAAGCATTCACAGTGATGAGGAAGAGGATGATGCATTCCTTTCTGATGTACAGATCCAGGAACACAAAGATGCCAATTCTTACAGGTTAGCAGAAGTTGCCAGTATTTTAGAACTATATCATGTGCTTACTTTTGCTTCCAAATTACAGAAAATACAGGTCCTCTGCACCGTATAGTTTAGGCAAATAATTTTAGTAGGACTAGGAAGTCAAACTGTGTGTTTGCATTTTTGGGGGAGGGGAAAAACAAATAAGAAAACCCTCATTTTCTTTTTTAAGACACAAAGAACATAAGGTTCTAGAATGATGTTTTAGACTACTGATTCAAGCATAATCTTTAGTTTTTGAATGAGGTGCAGGTTAAATAGAACATTTAAAAGAGAAAATGTTGCAAGATAAAATTAAGTGGATCACCTCAGCATTCCAATAATGGAGAAAACTGATGGTTCTTCTACATGTTCTTCAAGTCTCCCATTCATTAGTCCTTACAGCTATATTGCACAGGATTTGTATCACTAATATCTGTGAGACTCACTGTGAAAGCTTCTGCCATGATTTCAAGGAGAATTTCTAGAGGTGTTTCAAGGGAATTGTACTTAAATTCTGAGTCTTGCAGAGGCTCACACGTGCACATACTTTCATCTAGGGGAAGAGTACAATAATCTGGGATTTGTAAAAGAGAGAAGGTGATACTATTTGTTACAGCGAGTGCCCTCAGAGGCACCCATATATGCACAGTTTATATATAAGTAGTGTTCTCTCTGTGTCTGGTAAATCTCAGTGAACCATCTGCACTGTTTTTCCAATCTGTGCTTTCGGTAAAAGGAGCAAAATATTCTGCAGATAACTGTGTTAATGTTTTAACACAACTAAATCTATTCTTTTTATACAGCTGGGCTCTTCTGCATCTGACAATGGTAAAATTAGTTCTCCACAATGTTAAGAACTTCTTTCCTATTGCTGGGCTGGAATTCACTGGTACGTTAACTTCTGCTTTACATTGTACTTTTCTACGTTCTTTCATTGTATACGTTGCTTTCTGTCAGACTTTTTAATTTTCACTTTTAAATTTAAATTATTGAATACATTATTTTTTACAGTTACCAGCAAGTACATTTCCTTTCAAGATTATTTTTGGATGGTTTGACTATTCTGTTTTTTATACACACTGGAACTTAAATGATTTTTTTTCTTATGAGCCTTAATTTATTAATATTTCTGTTTAGATCTACCTGTAACATCACCACTGGGCATTGCTGTAATAAAAAATTTGGAACACTGGGAACAGATTCTTCAAGACAGAATGGACCAGTTTGAAGGCCCACCACCAAACTACATCAATACTTATCCTAGTGACATTGGTGTAGGTGCAGGACCAGCTATTCTCCGTAATAAAGCAATGATTGAACCTGAAAACACACCATTCAAGTAAGTGGTTTTTTCCTAGCAAAAACACATCTTTGATTATAGAAACACTGAAGAGTATTTCCACCTAAACAGCCACATGAAGGCTGTTTTAGTTCTAGCCAATGCTTTACAGACACCACTTTCCTAGCTCCCTTTGTTCCTCCTTACGCAGCTGTCCCCTGCAGTAACCGTTAGTTATTCTGCTGCACCTCTCACAACTGCTCAAGAAAGGAGAACAGGAGCAGAGCCTGGGGAAGTGCAAACTGAGGGCAACGGCTGCTGCTGGGAAGACCCTAGTCAACCTCTTTTACTCCTCCAGTAGCAGCTGTCTCCCACCCTATCTCGGCAACAAAAGTTGTAACACATGCAGATGGCAGGAGGAGGAGAGAAAGACAGTCGTAGTCCTCCTGTGTTTAGACCAATGTCATACTTGCAGGTACCTTTAAATGCAGATAGTCAACCATGTTTTCAACTCAATAATAGCTGACTTCTCTCAGTATGCGAAAATACAAGTTTATGTTTGCTCACTATATATGACTTTGGATTTATGTGGTTGGTACTGCTATAGGATTTTGTTAAAATATCCTTACAAACACACATTGCTTCTTTAGAAATAGTTGTCCTCAAATCCAAGACTGTGAATTTATTTGGCTCATATATAGGGGGCTCGCGGGTTCGATTCCCGCTCGATCCCCATGTGTTGTCTGGTCTAGTTGAGAGGTGGCGTCCCTGCCCATAACAGGGAGGTTGGACTAGATAATCTCTGAGGTCCCTTCCAGCCTAGGCCATTCTATGATATATGAGCTAAATATTTGTGAATTCTTCTGAATACTGAAAGAAATATTTAAGGAGATTCTGTAGGACCAGCATAAAAGCAGTTTTAGTAGAGTGCAAATGTAGACATACGTGCAAATCAGAGATTGAACTGTAGTACTTGGAAGTTTGTAACATAATGTGGTTTTTAAAAAAATGCAAGAAAAAAGTCTCTCTTGGTATTTGTCTTGAACAATAATGTGTAAACTTTGGGTTGGTTTGTTTGTTTTTTCCTTCCAATAGGAATTTCATCTAAAGTCAGAGTCTTTTGTCCACCTTTAATTGCATTAATGCTTTTCCCTTCCCCACTGCCCCCCACCCCCCACCCCATTTTCTTCTCTTCTATCCAGATCAAAGGATTACTCAGCTCTTCCAGCAAAAAGGCTCTGGCATTTTCTTGTGAAGCAAGAACTTCTTCAGGAGACTTTCATAAGATATATATTCACAAAGAAAAGAAAGCAAAGTGAGGTAAAGGGAGGACGTAACTTTTTAAAAAAAGAAAGCTCAGTTATAACTGTTCCTCAGTCTCTTCAATATTTCTTTAATTTTTCTTTCCATTTCTTTTTGGCATTTCAGTTTCCTTTCTTTCATTTAACAGTGTTTGGATTTTTTTCAAAATCAACATGACTGTCATGTGGTTTATTGAAATATCAACCGAACCAAATATTTTTAGACAAGACATATCTCACCTTACCTTTATGTATTTGAATACTGTCCTAATAAAGAAACAGAACATTAGCGATACTTGTAATAAGTAAATAAATCTGAATATTCATATATTTTTTGTCTGTCATAATGAAAGAGAAATTTAAATGAGCTATTACTTTTTGTATATGTATATATGCATGAGTAATATATACATACAAAAGTAATATTATATAGTAATATATAATATGGGGCTTTACCAGTTGTACCACTTACAACTAACACATTCTAACGGAAAATTTAAACCAGCACAAAAGTACAATAGGAAAAAAGTATACTATGTGGTATCTCTAAGAATTCCTGTAAGTATGGAGTTTGTGTGTGTATTACTCCTCCATTTATTTACTGTATCATGCATTTTGTGTTCATCTAGGAGGCATTACATTTTAAGTGAGTTTGTTTAGATTCCTGTCTTAGTTTCTGTGCTTTTTATAAAAAGTTTAAAATACATTTGTCATCATTTACTGACAGAGTGGCCTTTAAAATCTAGTTTGGAATGTTTCATTCTTTTTTTATATTTGTTTGTGCATGTGTTTTGTGTTTGTGACTGTGTGATGTTATGTAGTCTGTAGAAGATCGTGTGGAGCAGGTCAAACAAAACTGCGTAGCAGAAGATCACAAAAACAAGGTAGTATCCCTTCTCCAAACCTCTAGCACATTCTTAAAAGTTCTGTGGAACTGGCTTTTCTTTCTCTACTGTGACTAACAGAAGCTTTATGTTCTGTGTAGTCTGTGTGGCAGGCTTTGAATCAGTGAATTAACTTTGGATGTTCTGATAATTGGGATGAGTGAACACCTTGTAATTAGTGTTGCGCACACAACTTTATGTTTCTTACACTCAAATATAACTTTTGGCTTCTAGAACACCAAAGAGTATGAGAAGTCTAAAGTTTAGCTTTGTAAACAATGCTGAGGCCACTGAACTTTTCTTGCATGAATTTTGTATAGATTTTTGCAGTCTGAATGTAGTACTTACAAGTTCGAAATTCATGCTAATCCAGATTTCTTATAAATGTTTTGTAGGTTGAAGCAGATCTTGGTTACCCTGGAGGAAAAGCAAAAATCATTCACAAAGAATCAGATATGATAATGGCATTTGCAGTTAATAAGGTAAGCCTCAAATACTACAGTAAGTTCAATAAAAAGACCTTAATTATAGTTAGTATAAATTTTCTATTTGTGCTGCATAGGCAAACAGCAACGAAATTGTATTGGCATCTACACATGATGTTCAAGAACTTGATATCTCAGCTCTGCTGGCTGCTCAGTCATTTATATGGATTGGAGAAGAATATGACAGAGAATCTAAAAGGTAGGATTGTTCATTTGTGTTTATATTAAGAGTATTTTACTGTGAGACTGCATGTATAATGCCTATATAAGCACACGCGTGTCATACAAAAAAGTTAATTACTCTTCTTTAGTAGGTTTCAAATCGCTTTACAAAGGAGTGAGGGAAGGCAAAAGAATAAATACTGTCTTTGTTTTACACATAGAGAAAGTTAGGTTTTGAGGGGTTTGAGTAACTGGGGCATGTGTGCACTGCAGGGTGAAGCTGCCTCATTGCAGTGTTGAGGCCTGCTGTGGTAGCTGATGCTAGTTGTATAATGCAACAGCCTGAATTAGCGTCTCCTCCATTACTGTGCTGAGAACTAGGAATGTCTCAGCTGCACAGGCACACATCTGTACCACACTCCATTGCACAGAACAGATACGCATATAGACACGCAGGTCAGGAAAATTCTTCTCAAGAGCTTATATTTTCAGCACCAATCTACCATAGTTAGCTTTGCAGCATGTGAAAAGCATCTGTATGATCTAAGCTCGTGAGTTACCAATGTATAGTCTCACTATATTCACCTCCTCTACCCACTGCCATTAGGCTTTTGACAATTGAGATAAGCAAACAGCACTGGCAGCAAAGAAATATTTGTTTAAAGCAGAACACTGCTGTTCTTTTGCAGCTCTGATGATATTGACTTCCGTGGTTCTACCACAACCTTAACTCAGACAACTGCACCATCTTTTGGAGTGAATCAGATACAACCATCCCCATCTATGCCGTGGTTAGGCAGTGGTCAAACTAGCACTGGAGCTGGCGTGGTAAGTACTTTTGTCGCATGCAGCTCAGGAGACTGTTACTTTTTTTAGTGTATTGTTTAGTAGAGGGACCTAGTGTGCATTAGTCATGATACTGTTAATTCACTGTTGACATAAAAGGTCTACAGTGACAAAGACATGGTCAAAAAGAAGGCCAAACTAAGCATTTTCTTGTATGTTGTGGCATAGAATTACTGTGACATAGAAAATAATGGGACAGTGGGCTTCTTTCTCTTTGTTATGGGAATTTTGAAGTAGGACCTGGAGTTTCTGGGGACAAAACAAAACGATCAAACTTTCATGTCTAAAAAAGCTGTCATAAACAGGCTTTACTATACATAATCAGATGCAAGTAATGCTAGCTTAACAGGCTTTTTTTTAACTGAGGGACACTCACCATGCAGTAGTATGAACAAAATTGACGAGTGTGTTTGTGTCTTCTTCCAAAATTATTTTAATTTTTATTTGTTTTATATGAAGCTTATTAAAAGAAATCTGAATAACGTCAAGAGAATGGCTTCACATCCAGTCCATCAGTATTGTAAGTGAATCACACTTACTAGTATGGAGTAGATAATTTTTTATAAAACACTGTAATATTAATGAATATCTGTCTTTTACTGTTAGATCTTACAGGAGCACAAGACGGTAGTGTTCGAATGTTTGAGTGGACAAGGCCACAGCAACTGGTATGCTTCCAGCAGGCTGGGAATGCCAGGGTTACAAGAATGTATTTCAATTCCCAGGGCAACAAGGTAAGTCAAACATTTAACATTTTTCACTTTTTACTCATAAGGACATATTTGGTTGTGCTGTGACCTCTCAAATAGTTTTAACTGGTGATACATGAAACTGCTAAGATGTCCTGGAATGATGACAGAGGCAGTATTCATTTTTGCTTCTTATGGCAGCTTTGTAATAAATGCTGACCTTTATTCTACCTTCTCTTCTGCCAGCTTCATAATGCTACCCCATCCCCTCCTTGCCACATTTTTCAGACTTTTTCAGACTCTCCCTCTTCTGAAATTTGTGTCCCCATGTGACTTTTTTAAATTAAACATTTAACAAAAATTTGAGCTTACTTACTTTGTAGAAGCAAACTTTTATCACTCTAGGCATGGGTCTTCACAACATGCATCACACTTGGCATTCTGGCCAAGATCAAGTTTTGACACAAGGCGTTACCTAGAAGATATATATAATACGGCCCATTAGTTGAAGAATCGAAGTATATTCTGGTACAGTACAGAGCACAAAGCATACAAGAGAGCCATACAGAAATGACTCTGTGAGATATGAGGTAGAGAAAATAAAGTGGACAAGAAATTGGGAGGAATGCTGAGCTCTTCAGCTTTTTGTGTTGCCCATTCTATTATTTTAGCAGGTCTTGTCTGCATTTTACTGACAAACTATTTAAATTCATTATAGTTAAAAGCCGTAACAAGTGAATTAAAGGAGTTTGGGCACTGAGTGCAAGACAGCTATAAAACAGCACAGGTCAATAATTAGAAATAGCTGGAAATATAAAGTATCTCCCAATGCACTTATTTTTAGCTAGCATAAAGTCTCATTTAAAGTTGTTTTTTTTTTTTAATTAGTGAAATATTGCAATCCTAACATCACATGGGAATCAATTTGAAGTAAGAAATTAAGATGTAATACTTGTCCCTACTGCTTCACATGGAGGTCACTCAGGCAGGACTCATTAAACCTGAATAAAAGGAGAAAATATAAGAAATAATTCTTAATATTTATAAAAACATTCTGTAAAATACTTACAGGTATAGAATATACAGTATTAATTGTTATGCACTTCAGTTAACAAATATAACTCAGTCATTTCACCATTCACGTTACAGTGCAGTCCTGTAATTGTTCTTCTCCTGCTTTTATGGCACGCTGTCATAACTCTTACTTTACTAAGCATTTTTAAGTAGTCACAGAGTAATGATGCCTCTGTAAGCTTTAGTATTTGAAAGATAAGCTTCTGCACTTTAAAAGCCTCCATTACAGAAAATAGTTACCAAACTAAGAGAGCATCAATCATTAAATAATCAGAACTGAACTCAGCTGGCTCCTAAACTACTTTTTTGTACCTGACAATTATCGTTGATATTTAATGTGCAGGCACTGTTTTGGTGGTTTAGGTGTGGGGGTTTTTTCCTGAAGTCAGCTGTTACTGTCAGGAAGTAAGCATCCAGTAAGCAGGACATTACGCTAATAAATGCAGGTTGTTCCTTGCAGTGTGGTGTTGCTGATGGTGAAGGATTTCTAAGTATTTGGCAAGTTAACCAAACCACTTCAAATCCTAAGCCCTATCTGGTAAGTAAACAGACATATTTTTGTTTGGTTTTTTTTTTTTTTGGTTGTGTTTTTTTTCTTCTTTTTACAGAGGAAAGTTAAGCCTTTTAGGCTTCAGACAGACCAAGGGCCTAAGAGATTCACTGAGACAGTTTTGATTTTGCTGCTTTTTAGTTGGCATACTTTATCAAAACAACTGTAGAGTTTCATTGAGATATCCTTTGGAAAACAAATTGTACAGTATTACAGGCTGCAATGTAATTATAAATACTACTTCACCATTACCTGATTAAACTAAAAATCAGAGCTAACAGTAATGACTTCACAACCCTACGACTTAGTAAAAATACACTCTTCAATACTTTTCACTGTTTCTATACAATAATCAAGACCGTGTTTCAGTTGAAATTCACACTGTTATGACACACTATATTGTGGATTTGTTATAGTTCACTTATTTTAGTATCTTTTTATTTTATACTGGATTTTTAATCCATTGCTCCATTCTCTGAGGTTTCAAACCGCATTGCTCATCAGTTTTTAAATTTTATTTAAAAACTGTGTTCTGCTATCTGTGACATCAGACTTTGGATACAGACTAAAACTGGTAAGATTCTCTCTGTTTTGTTTTTAATAGAGTTGGCAGTGCCACAGTAAAACCACCAGTGACTTTGCATTTATAACCTCTTCAAGTCTAGTTGCTACATCGGGACAGTCCAATGATAACAGGTGTGTTTAAAGAAACAAGGAGGAATTTCAAAACTACCTATTCACCTAAATTAACTTGCTAGCTCTTGTGCATTAATGTGTGGCTGATGTCTCAAGGCTCAGCATTCTAAGCTTTGTTACAGCTTAAACTTGCCAGATGATTTCTTTGAACATGGTTCCTGCAGTTGCTTGTTTTCAAACTTTAGTTTTTGTGAGGAGCGCTCAAGTTAACTACATTTTTAAGTGTATTCCAAATGCAACTAGTTTGATGTAATGCTGTTGCTGGGGTGAAGAAATATGTTCAGTAAAGGGCAGGTAACTCTTTTCCCTGAAAAGAACATCTGTAATTTCTTGGTACAGCCTAGAACTAGTACACATCTTAAAGGCAGAAAGTAGGGTTCCACTAAGAAGCATAAAAGAGCACAGACAAAATGAAAGCTCCTAACTGTTTGCATGTATCTCCAATGACGGCAGAGTCAAGAGCTCCATGTTCAGTTCTACCTTCTAGGCTTTGACATAAAATGTGAATGCTTTTGAGTCATCTTACCCCACACATCACTTGGCAACAAGCCATAATGACTTTTTTCCTCCCCCTTCCCCCTCCCCCCCCAGAAACGTGTGCCTCTGGGACACTCTGGTTTCATCTGGTAACAGTCTTATACATGGTAAGTACTGCACTGAGAATTAAAACTCTGTGTCTTACAGACTAAGGGTAGTGTGGCCACACATATATGTGCATTTGGGGCATGGGGAAAAGTTTGCACTGGGGAACTGGTCTGAATAACACCTCAACAGTTACTACATCGTCTCTCACATGATGCTAATCTGCTCTATATAGAAAAACAGGAAGAAGGTCATATGCAAAGCTGGGCTTGTGACAGTGTTAATAAAATCTGAAATAGCTGAATACAGTCCTGAAAAAAATTAACAGCTGACTAATTAAGGCTGCATTATTGAACTTTTACATGTATGCAGGCTTTCACCTAAACTGCCACTTAATTGGTATATCCTGTACTCTCTGGAAGCACAGAGGAAAAGACAACTGTACGTAATAGTAGAAACAACTCATTCTTGTCTCGTGTCTTTCAGCACTTGGACTGGATTCTTAGAATTACTTTTGTATCTATTTAACCAAGTTCAATAATTTCATCTGTATGTAATGAACTAAAGCAGATGTGCTACAAAAGAAATATATATAGAAATCCAAATATAATATCCTTGGTTTTTAAAAGAGCAAATTCAATGATCATAAACAAGTGCAGTACTTGAGTAAGAATTAGCTGTGTTCTGAAACTTTTATTTTAAAACTAGCAGATTGGACAGGAGTTCATCCTCATCTTAAAGAAACTGAGTCACAGCTCCAAAGAAAAATAGGTTAGGAAATTAGAATATAATAATATATATCTATAAGGTAATTCACATTTACTTTTTTAGTTCAGCTATACTATTTTTTTAACTCAGAAAGTTAAGTGAGCTTAACATGGTGAGTTTCATATTTTCTTAATTTTCTAAACTCAGGTATGTGCTTATATTCTAAAATAAATTAGACTGCAATATCATGCTTTCTTTTTGTGCATTAGATCTCTATAGCTCTTAGGAGAGCAAAAAGCTGTCAGCTGATAGGACGTTACATTTCTTCATGTGGGTATCTGTCAAGTTAGAAAACATTCAGATAACAATTTACAGAAGAAACGCATTTTAAGAGGAAATGCTACTTACAGTTTCAAATCTACTGAATTCTGACATCCTCCTTCAGGCTTCACTTGTCACGATCACGGTGCCACAGTACTTCAGTACGCACCTAAACATCAACTGCTGATTTCTGGAGGTAGGAAGGGATACATCTGCATCTTTGACATCCGACAGAGGCAAATCCTTTACACCTTTCAAGCACATGAATCGGCCATTAAGGCCCTGGCACTGGATCCTTCTGAAGACTATTTTGTTACAGGCTCAGCAGAAGGTAACATGAAGGTAAGGTGTCGGAGGAGCACAGTTGTATACGAGGGGATTTAGTCAAAGTAGCTTATTAACAAATGCTGGTCAGCATGCTGTGAATAGCCAAATGAATGTAGTAACAAAACAAAAGAAAAATCAAAAATGCCAAACCTGCATTTGATGTACAAGATGCTTGCCTTAATGTAAACATCAATATACTAATATCCTTCCTTCTAAAGCAAGTAGGTTTTGTTGTCCAGTGGAAGAAGATAAAGTCTTTTTAAAGTCGTCTAACTGAATTTTAACTGGATAAAGTGCATGATTATGAAATTTTAACTCTATTTTTCTCTCTCAAAAATGTTCTGGTTTTGCCTTTGAATATTTCTCTTTTGTAATACAGGGGGCGCTCAGTAACTTCAACACTGTGTAAAGGGTCTGTAACATAAAGTTCTGGTGTTTTCCCTGATGCTGGAGCCCCTGACAGCTACTGAGATGTCGTAGTAGTAAGAAAAATAAAACAAACAACTCCAAACCAGAAATATAGTCCCTCTTTTAAAGGACGTATTTCCTGAATACTAAGGGAAGGAAATACAAGAACATAGTAAAGAGAAAGAGAATACAATTTCTTTCCTTTTGGCTGGCCTGCACACTGTGCAATAGGTGCTTTCTGTGTCTCTGCACACTGCCTGGCCTTGCTGCGGGCTCCTGCAACTTAGGACACACCAGACACCTCAGACAGCTGGGCTGCAGCCTTAACGATTGTGCAGCTTCCTCTCTGCACTGGTCCGTAGCAGAAGAGCATCTCCACCTGCTGGAGAGATGACCCTTTATCTTTGCTGAATAAGGCAGAGCAGCCAAGAATCTGCAATGCTGGGTTAAAAATACAAAACCTAATCTTAATCTCCTTTTGTCGTTCTTTTGATACAGGTGTGGAGACTGACTGGCTATAATTTAATTCATTCATTTAAAAATGAACATGCTAAGCAGTCCATTTTCAGAAATATTGGTGCTGGTGTCACCCAGATTGAAATTGTGGAAAGCAACCGTATCTTCTCCTGTGGAGCAGATGGCACGCTGAAAATGAGGGTTCTTCCCAACGCTTTCAATGTACCTTCAGGCATTTTTGACATTCTGTAGCGTTACGTGAGCTAATCCTGTTTTTATATAATGTCTCTTTAAGTAGATATAAATGGAGTGATATGCACTGTGGAAAGGAAACGCTCTGTTTCCTTTCAGAGCAGTTAGGGCAACATTATGGGGGAAATTATTTTAAAAAAAACAACCCACACTTTTACAACAGGTGTATTTTGAGTATTCCCATAAGGATCACTGGGGTGGAAATGCATGTACCGTATCGTAAAAGCAAAGAATTAAACGCAGCACAGTCAGTCACAGGTGGGGTTATTGCTCAAGTACCCTACAAGCTGCATTTAGTACATGCACTGTAAAGATTCTGACAGTTGTCAGTCACTAACAAGCACTGTGGCTCTACAAGTCAGTAAACATTTCTGATGTGATTCTGATTATTTTTATTCCATTGTTTCTCACTAACTGAAGCATGTGTACAACTTCTCATTGTAAAATAGTTTAGTTTTAATTAAGGGTACTCTGTGTATTTGATTTTCGCAAGAAACTGTAATGGATGCAAATGCCGTGGAACATGTGCAATTGAGAACATGTACTGTGAGGCACGTATCATGGTGATATTTTTTTTCCCAGTTAGTATTATTACAAAGTTGATACTGTAATTTGCACATCAACACATTTTTTAAATGCGATGTTTTTTAATTTGCACACTATTTTCCTTTCTTTCCAATAGCAGTTTTCTATTGGACACCTGCCTTTACTTTAGGAATGTATTCTAAGCACTAAATGTTTGTAGTGAAGACATCCATGATTCTAGTCAGCCTTTAGTTTTGAAACTCATTTGTCCAGAAAATACTTTATTAAATGAAGCTGTTAAGCAAATACCAATGGAACGTATAACGCCACATTTCAGATGAATGTCAGGCTTTATGTGGCCAGCTAGTAAATAGTGGATAAAACTGGTAATTAAATTATTACCACAGTATATTGTATAAACTATGCAGAGTTCAATATTGTTTGCTTGTAATATAACTAGCTACTGTTGTCAGATGTATTTTTCTGTTGTAAACAAAAACACGTTCTTAAGAGCCTGGAACAGAGTCTGTGTATTTAAATGTTAACAAACTGTCTTATTCCTGCAATGAAAATTTTGATGTCTGTGCTGTATTGTAAAATACACTAGAATTAAAAGCACCTTTGTCCAAAGGTGATTTCAAATTGCAGGCTGTGAAGTATGAGAAGAAGGAAGAGTAAATGTCATTGTTTAGTTTTCCCTTTGTAAGTTAAATAAACTACTTTTATTTCATGGAACAGTGCATTCCAGTACTCTTCCTTATATTTAAGTAGATTTAACTAAACCTCCAGTCAGTTGACTGGATAGTGCCTGAACTAGCTTGAATTTGACCTCAGACTGTACTGAGATAGAAAGGATGAGCTGTTTGCGTTCTATTTTCAGTCCTAGAAAAGCATACTCACAAAGATAGCCTTGTTCTGTCACGGAAGGCCAGAATTTGCTGTCTCTCCTTATCCCAGAGGTTGATGGAAGTGGTTCAACAATGACATTCACAAACTTAAAATGATTTAAGATAGCACATGTTATCTAGAAACTGGCTGAATTCTATTTGCCCAAGTATACTGCAGTTCAGAGTTTAAGTGATACTTTACTTCTAAATATTTGGATGAGCTCTGTGAACTTTACCGATATGCACAGGCAGCTTAGAAGTTTAGGTAGAGATTTTCTTAGAGCATGATTTTGAATATAGATACACAAAGTAATAGTAGCAATTTATATATCAATATTAAATTCAGAAATCTGAAACACCACAACAAAATTAAAATCAAAGAGTTCCTATTACTTCTCACCTCTAGCTCTCAAAAATTTGAATGTGAACGGGCAATCTGAATTCACAAATGATGTCACTAAGCACACTGATGAAAACATACATTCCTGCTCCAGATATTTTATTTTGTTTAAGAATAGCAGCAATTAAATACACCCTTGATTTTATGATTTCATTTGTACGGATGCACATGGGAGATATTTTTTAGAACTGTACTGTACTATAATTCAGTATAGTTATAAGCAACTTATATTGGTATAGTTTGTATGGCAGTGAGGGGCAAGGAACCGTCTGCAGCAACTCAGGCACTGTTAAAAAGAGAATTTTAATCATAAATTTTACATCTTCTCTTCAATTTTACATCTTGGTGATTTTCTTCCCATGCACCATTTACTGAATACAATTTTACATATATTCAGAAGTCAATAATGCCATTATTCCCATTTTTCTTGTACCTGGGCTGGATTTTGTTTTGATTATTGAACAGTTCACTGGACTTGTATGATTTTAAGCTTTCTGCTTTTTTTTCTTCTACTTAAACAACTACCTTCCATCCCCACTATTTTTAACAGCTGTATGTCTTTGTCCAAAAAAAAATGTTCACAGAGAATCAGTGGAAAATATTAAGTAAAAGTGACAAAGATACTTGTACACAGAAGTTTATTATTTAGACATTTACACTAGACCTGAATCACTGACTAGAACATGATTGCAGATAAGATGTTTGCAAGTTATAAATAGTCTCTGTTGAACACGTGACCATGGAATAATCTATGTACATTAGACATAATTATAAGCTGAATAACAGGGGGAAAACAAAGGCAAGTCTGTTCAATATTGCCGGCTGCAATATTGAGCAGCTATTCTTTTTAAAAGATGAGAATAGTCTGTGTAATTGAAATGTGCTTATGCCACGGCATCTGATCTCTGTTTTATGCACACTCACAACCAACCATCGGTGAAAAACAAAATTATATCAAGTGAAGGAGGCCCCTATGCATATATCACATAGCTTTAAATAATCTGTTGAGTCAAACTTGGCTCCCATACATTCCATTTTCAAATATATTCATCTGCCAAAGTGTACAGGGTATATCATTAAGCTCCCATTCTCCCATGTATACAAATTCTTATCTCTTAGACTGTATGAAAGCATAGCAAGAACAGACTGTGAAGACCGTAACTCAAACCTTGCATCAATCTGCTTCTCTTTCAATAAATCAAAAGCAAAACTTACTGTCATATCCTTAGTATCAGTAACATACATAATGCCACATGCTATGAATGCATTACCAGCCTTGGATTTAGGATATGTAGTATTGATATGCCGAATGACTGAAAATGTTTCTTCATCAACATGTGCCACTATTATATTTCCATCAGTGCTTGAGGCATATATAATCCAAAGACCCTTCTCATCCACTGCTATGTTGAAATACGTCTTTGAGTTAGAAAAGAGGTAGTTACGACCATGATACAAGGCATTTTCAATTAGCAGTGTGCCCAGCGATCCTTTATCAAGCCCAAGTCTGAAAAGAGATAAAGTAAGTATTCAGTACGTTGTGTTAAAAATTAATTTCTAGACGCTGCTTGGTTGAATCTATTCAAAGTGCATTGTTACTGATAGAAGCATTGTTGAAAATACTTGAGTTCAAGGACCATTCTTGATGTCTTTTAAGATTAAGTACTACACTCAAAGTACCTTCCAAAACACTAGGAGAAAATTCCAAAGTAATACCCAATCTAAAAAGTGCACGAGAGCATGAACTCTGTTTGGTAGCTTTCACTTTATTTAGTCTATGGGGTTTATTATCACTAGGATGAAAGAAGCAGCTAAAAAAAATGGGTACGAAAAAGAATTACATACCAAGTGAAGGCCCACACTTAGGAAATCTGCACAGAACTTCGCTTTCTACTAGGTGAGAACTAAAGGGGCAAAATGTGATTGACCAAACCAGCATGAATTCTGGGCAGGTTCACACAGTCTTAGTGTTCCTCTTTTGAAAACAGTTCAGATAATGCAGTGATTTGCTCAAGTAAGCAGCAAAGGAATGAAAATTTTACTTCTGCAGAGCCAAAATGCTAACTTTATACTGGCTTCCAACAGGATAGCCTGAGTGTCTCATCTCTGATGTATAAAATTTTTTTTATTCCTTGAAATTCCTTAATATGATGATAATCTGAGGACAGCAGCATTGAGCAGCTAAACTGAGTTCCTCTACTAGCTTAAGAGGGTAATCAGCTACTATGAAGACATATTTACACTTAGCACTTAATCACTGAATAATGCAGTGCTTTAGCAAAGGCTGAGAGACCAAGCTTTACTCTTTTAAGTAATGCATTCTGTGATGAAGCACATTTCATTGTCTGATTTCTATCTAACTCTATAGGTCCCTCAAAGAGAAGAAAAACCTTACTCGATACAGGAAACTGCTACAGTTAAGGTTTTCAGGAAAGAGGCTTAATGACAGGAACATATCAGATCCAGGAACTTGTATAGAAGGAAGAATAATGGAAAAATACTTTTCTGTGGAAGAGGCATTGACAGCATATACTGGAAAAACCATCCTAAGAACAGTTCAACTAGATGATCCCCTCGACTTTTATAAAACCTGTGTCTGCAGCAACTCCATATTCCAGCAGCATCTATGTGCAGTTTTAAAAGAGGCTTCAAGTCTGGAGAGGAGATTTCTGAGAAACGTGTGTGTTGACCCAGTTAATCTCCTTAGTTGCTTCATGTAACCACAAGCAAGGGCATGGCCTAGAAGGATAGCCCTTAGCAGGAATAGTCACATAGAAATGCCGATTTTCTTCAGGATTCATTGGGAATGTGCAACGTCTACAACACAGAACATTGTCTTTTCCTCTTCTATGTGAAAATCCTGAAGGAAGCAGAAGAGTGAAGGTTTATTCCTGAGGTTCTCTTCCCCAGTCAAGGACAGGCTATCCTGGAACTCCCAATGGTTCTAAAATTTCTTAATCTTGGGGTAAACGGCAAGATATACTATAATATTTTCAATGACTGCAGGGAACGTAATTTACAAACACTTTTCTGATTACTAAGATGAACGAAGACAACCAAAAACAACAGAGGTGGGAAAGCATGTTACAAAACAAAGGAAAAAAGGATGAAACAATCATAATTTGTTGGGAATCTGAACATCATGAAAAAACCTGCCAGAGGTCAGACGAACCTAGCTACACCAGCTTTTGAAGCTGACAGGAGACTCCTTTTAAATATTTTTTCACCATTTGCAAAATGAACCTATGAGGTCATCACCTGTTCTTTTCATTCAGTCAGTACAAAAACTCCCAGCAGCTTTTCTGCAGCCTAAAATCAAGGAGTTCACTGTCACGGAATTCAAAGTGCCTCATTCTAACTGTGCTGAAGGTAAGTAATCTTAGAGTGAATAACAACAGAAAGGCCCTCTCTCAGCAACTTCATAGAGAAGTATTGAAAATTACGCAAGTAGCTTGTGTGTTCATCTGTATGTGAAGGCATTTCTCAGTTAACAGTACTGAAGCAAGGGTGAGGAACTTCTGTCCTATCGCTGCCTATTGCTTAGACAGACGTGGTCTTTCACAGATGTATAAACAAAAAGCCCTAAAGATATTTAAAGGAGGTTGCCAAAAAACATGCTTGTCATTGGCACAATAAATATTATAGAATCCAAAGCAGCTTGCTCACATTCCTTGGCATCCAAATGAATATAGGAAGGCAGCACTCACACCTGCTTAGGAATAGACATCAAAGTATAGTAATGTTCTTGGCTCAAACATCAGAGTCATGTAAGCAAACTTGAAAGCAGATGCAATCTTTCACTTGTCCTTGGACTGTCTGTCTCTGGCTCTTCCCACAAGATGAGATTTTGGTTTTGATTTGTACTGTCTGTCCTTACAAGAAACTGAAGAAAAAAGAGAATGTAATTCCTGGTTCTAAATCAGGGAGATATATTGGGAGAGTCGTAGGAACTTATTGTGAGGAAATCAGACAGCGAAGCTGCTCCTCCACAACGGAATGCGCCGTTCACCAGGTCGCCATGTCCTCAGATGGTGCCTTAGTGCATTCCTCTGTGCTAGCAGCATTAATCCTCTGTGCTAGCAGCATTAACTCAAGTCCTACCAGCTAACAGCAGCACCACCCGAGAGGAAAGCATGTGCATCTGCCCAGCAAGAAGCTCTAGAAGGCCAAGTTCCACAACTGAACTACAATCATAACCAGTCATCTGTGCTCCTCTAACTGCAGCTGAACCCATTCTTACTCTGATGCAAGTAGATCCATAGCCTACTTTTTTAAATAAAATACTCTTTTTTGACCCCAAAATTCCTTAGTTCCCATTTGCAGTTTCCTGCAATTATGAATAAAGGAAAGAATGGAATAGAAACCCACTGGACCCCAGGATAGCCAAAAGAAAAATCTGTTGTCACCTCTGCACATGACAGCTTGTTAACCTGGAGGCCAAGCTGTCCTATCATGCAGCAGCTACTCAGGGTAATGGCTCAGAAATAGAGCCAAGCAACGCTTCAAGAACTGATTGCCAAGGCAGAGTAATGCACCTGGACTACGTGCCAGTTCCTCTCCTCCCACAGCACCTGCACACACGGACGGCCAGTGATCCGCCTTCTAGGTACAGACTGGAAAGAATTAGTTGGTCTGTTCTGGAAAGAATTCTGAACCATTCTTCCTATTCTATACAGGACCAAAAAGAAATATAAAATGGTACAAGGAAAGTGGTCTTCTTTTCTGAGGTTCACCGCTGTCACTTTAACCCATTGCTTCTTCCACAACATCACCTGCCTTAAGCCAACTATGTTTGACTTACTTCAGAATGACACTGGTTCCAGCCTTTTGATAGTACAGATGATTGTTTTGTACCGCATGACCACATCCATAAAAGAATCCTGTGATGTTAATGATTCTGTAGCTGTCATTCAGCAATGCATTGGAATTTTCATATTCTTTTATAGTGTTCCCTAAGTGAAGGAAAAAACATGAAAAAATGACTATCATTTCATCTAATTTTGAAATCTGACATACAACAATTGTATCTGTGATTTCACTAGCAATTCAGGTTGCTACAATGTGATAAAATACTCCAGTGACAAACACCAAAATAATCTACAGAGATATTTTACAAGGGCCTGCTTCCCACAGACCTGATGGGCCCTAAATGTAGCTCATGTAGCATCTGATTGATTTTCATGCTTAGCTAAATGAAAAGGCAAAGCTCCCAGCTACCATTTAGGAAAGTAAAGATTGGTTAAAAAAATCTAAAATCCTCCAACTATTTTCAAAATCTGATGTTGACTCTGTCTAAATATACTACAAGTGTCTATAACCATACGTATAGTCAAGTACTACACAGGTAATAGAGAAAACATTCTGAAAAAGATGTAGGTAAAAAACCTATCATACTTGATTACAAATACTAGTTTAGGTTGAAGGAATTAAGAGAACTATGTTAGCGTAACAACTGATTTTTGATCAGTGACTACTACTAATGTACCTGCAAAATGCATGGTAAGCCAAATCCTTTCATCACTTATATTTGCAGGTTCCCGCATCCAGGTTCCAAATGTTTGCTGTACATGGACAAAGTGAACAGGACTTCCTACAGATGTTATGACACATTCTAGTAGAGAAAAAACACATGTCCATTATTCTGTGACATTAAAACAGTAAGTAGCAGTTAATTGCACTCTGTAGGAGGTTACCAAGTTTTTCTGAAGGACCGGGAGTTTTATCTTCAGCTTTTCCAGCCAGGGTATCATCATTTGGTACAGCACATGTCTCACCTAGAGTTGAGAGAGAAAAACGTGAAACAAGTAGTTTTAGTATTTGACGTGACAGATGTGCACATTAGTGACTCCACTAAAATAAAGGGGCGACAACTGGGATTTTGTTTCATCTGTGGAAAAAAAAGCTTAGGTTGATCTGGTCAAAAAATGAGATAAAAAAAGACTTGCTCTCACTTCTGCTAAGGAAATGAAGTGTTCGGGCTGGTCTGCTTCCTTAAAGTTGTCAGGCTGACAAGTCAACTTTGAGGAGTAATTAAGTTTGCTCAACAGAGTTCATTCCTTAGCTGTGAATTTCTGAGTAGCTGCTTAAAAAGACAGAGTTGCCCTTTCCTTGGATACCTGTAGACAACTGAGATAGCTGGCAGCCAGCTGATTTAGCAGCAATAACAAAAAAGCTCTCTTGGGAATGAGTGATGGCTAAGCTCAGAAGCTTCACACCCAAATCTATGTACACTAGCTGAGGGGTGTATTCTGTAGGCAACACTGGAAGTTTTGCTCATGCTGTTAATGCCCAAGACAGTGATAAAGTCCTAACAGATACACTGAGCACAAAATGCATTAAGAATGTAGGTCAGTCACCCACATCATTGAAGAAACAATATGAAAGACTAAGGAACGTTATACATGATACTCCTTAATCACACAGAAATGGTTCACGTTAGAAACAAACACCTGGAAATATTTCTCCCACACATTAAACAATTTACAGAGTAGCTGGTTGGGTTTTTTTCCTAGTGTTTACTGTTAAAATAATGCCTGAACGAAATTATTTATGAATGTTTTTCTACGAACCCAGATACCTCTTCTTCCTTTAAAACAATGCAACACGTTTCAGTTTGCTTAGAATGAATAGCAACAGAGACCAGTTCTTCAGCTCTTTGCTGAAGATACTGATTTCATTGGACACTTCTAATTCCATTATTAACTTTCACCTCCTTAGATATTTCACACTGCTTGACATGCAGGCTACAAACTCTTTTGGACATGCATTTTTGTTGTTACCTTCTAATATATTTCTGGGATTTAAAGGGTTGTGATGAAGTTTAAATGAGAATGATAGTAAAAATACGAAAGAACTATCAAGTAATGCTGAAAGGGTACTGTGACTTTCAGGAAAGAAGGACAGATTATACTGCTTTGTTGGTTTTTTCCTTTAGGTTATATTCCTTTGTTCACACAGAAGGAAACTGCTCCAAGATAGAGAAGAACAACACATACTTCTCCCACCAATTTATCTAGGACATTTAGTGACAGCACATCAAAAGTTCGTTAAGTGATCAGAGCGTATCTCCAAAGCAAGGCATAAACAGTTGATCCAACCATGCGGACACCAATGCCTATAGCTAGAATCCAGCAATCCCTCTAGATTCCTTTCCAGATTCTGATCTCAAAATACTGTCAAAATATCTCAAAAAAGTGGAAGTCCTAAGTTGCAATGCACAAGTTAATTTTCTTAGGCTGTGTCTAACAGAAACGAGCAGTTCTCTATAAAGTACTTTATCTAAGACTATAGATTAGTCAAGGACCAGGTCGGTGTTTGTAGTGAAGCCAAGTGTGCTATTGGAATTTGAGAGTATTTGCAATACTCTGAGGACTTCCAGCTGCATGAAACAGAGCGCAAGTAGGGTTAAAAAGACAGTTTTCAATCAAGAGACTTTTGTGTAAAATTTTCACTGCTTTCTTTCCATCAAAAAAAGAAAAATAAATACCTACTGATTCCTATCATAAAATATCCTGGCTGAGAGTTACTGGAGTTTGCAAGATGTTGAAACCAATGATTTGGTCTGTCTGGGGAGGGTGGGAAGGAGGGAGCGAGGGAGTGTGGAGCAGGGATGTTTTGCTTCTTTCAAAATTAGCTAACAGTTCCACTGAGAGCAAATACACCTGAGCTTCCAGCCAATTTTTCTCTTACAGAAATAAAGTTTTACCTGATTCAAAATTTAATTTAAGGAAACCATTATTGTATTCTTATCTAATAAGTTAATTACAGTTGTAAATCCACATGTGCATTCTCTTTTCTTCAAAGGGATGTGAATATTTAATTACAAAAGCTGTTTTATTCTTTGAATTTTGGTAATAAGATCTCACAGCCTACTGAATCATAAAACATAAATGCTCACTGAGAACAATCTCTTCTTCGCAGAGTTGAGTATAACTCCCATTTGCACACTGAGATTTAATATCCATTAGAAATGCAGATGACTTATCCTCCACAGCTCTACAGACTGTTTTAACACTTGAAAAGAGGCTACCTGAGTAAATGGTCCAATTATGTCTTGTACAACAGTCTGTGCATTTCTGTATTTCAAACAGGATGAGCTTTCTGCTTGTGGCGGTGTGGCCCCCCCCCCCTTCCTGCTTAAGCGACAGCCGCCAGTGGTGGTCATGCCGGCTGCATCTGGCTTAAGTTGGGCTTTTGGGGAGAACACACAAGCTAAGGGCCATAAACCTTGCTCAACAGCTAGCTGAGCGTGCACCAATGAAAATACGGCTGCTATGCAAACATGACCAAGTCAATCACCTTACATGCTAGTACAGCTACAATTATACGCTATATTAAAGCTAAAGAGGCAGAAATAATTGATGTATGTTCCCCTCAGTATTAAATATTCACTGGTTAACAGCATTTATAATAATACTTTAAAAAGATCTTTTTATCTCAGCAAACTGTGCAGAATGATGGTGACATAAAAACCTTATTAATGGTGAGATGTACAAATTGCTTTGCTGGTTTCACACTTAATAACTGAATGAAATTTTTGTGCTGTCCCTTTTTGGTATGACTATCAAGAAGCTACATTCCCAAACACTTTCACAGATAACCTTCTTTAGTCTACAACCTAGCAGTCTGTGTACCATTAGAACCAAAATACGAGTATCTGCTGTGCAATTTGTAGCTACAGTTTGGAGGGAATGCACTTTGCTTTAATTTTTCCTTTCTGAATATTAAGATTAGCTGCAGTTATGAACATAAAAGGGATTCACGATCCACCTGTCATTCAGGATACAATAATGATAAATAGCAGCAATGGAAAAGGACTCAAGATCACTCTGCTCCAAAACTTACATATTCAAATGGACACAATTATCTCTAAGAGTCCTTTTGTATTCTGCCAGCTTTTAAAAGTCTTAGCTAGCTCAAGATTGCTTCAGCTCTGCCCATGACCAGACAATTTAATTTTGTAGAATACAGCAAAACGTAGCCTGGTTAGCAAGTGCTAAATTTAAATTAAAATTTAGCATTTAAAAGCTATAAATTTCAACAGCGTTTCTTTTACTTTCTATATATATCCCATCTAACAGATATACCATGTAAATACTTTGCCCGAGAATTAGCATAGCACAAATAAAACACTGACGTTATACTGAAGCCGGCTGACTGCCTCAGCCAACTCAGATTAGAGCAAAGCACCTCAGCACATGGTCAGCTTTAAGCTTGTGCAGTTTTACTGACACCAGCAAATTTAAACATGTGCTTAACGTTTCTTGATACTTGAAGTTACAGGTTTAATGATGAACCTATTTATAATACATAAAGAACACTGAAAAGAACTAACCTGTGCATTTGCTGCTGTATATGTTCTCCTGAAGCTGTGTTTTACCTTTACGTTTTCCTGGAGGCCCCGGGGGTCCAGGTGGTCCAGGGGGCCCTGGTGGTCCAGGTTCACCTTTTGCACCTACGTACAAAACACAGTACAATGTCACTGGCCCTGCTGACAACAGCCCCCTGCAAAGAACTGCATGTGTCCACATGATGGACTTGGAGCAATCTCTAAAACAGCCTCTCTCCTAAGAGGCTTCTGTGTACAAAAATATGGTGCAATAAACTCACTGGGATGCTGTCTATTCAAAGGTGACCATACAGAACTTCACAAGTTGTAGGGCAGCAATGCAATTTATCTGTCTGGATGACAGGCACAGTAGAGAGTTATAAAGCACTGTTGCCTTTTACTTACTGTATTCTAAGATCTCAAGTTCAGATGCTACAGTACTGTAATTTTACACAGCTTGTATTTGTGGCTGCTACATGTATTCTTGAGTGGAAATCTGCTCCTCATTTTCTAATAGAAAAATAAAGCTACACTGCAAGAAAAAGCAAGAGGAGGTCAACTGCCCGGAGGCATACTGAACACACCTCAACCCAAAGTCCAAGCAGAAAAGTTTTTGTGAAGACTTGCATTAAAAAGAGAACATAATGTTCTGGGCAGAGCAATACTCAAATTTCACTGTGGATGGTTGGTTCTACTCTTGCAGGTCACATTCATGCCTCAGAAGCAGAGTATATCTTTTTGTCAAGTACACTGTTGCAAGAAAGGTCTTAAGAGCACTCCTTCCTACCTTCTAATATCACATCATTGTTTGCATCCCCCTTTTCACCCTTTGCTCCTCTTGCACCTTTTCCTCCTGGCATACCATCCTTGCCAGGTAAACCCATTTCTCCAGGTTCTCCTTTCTGTCCTTGATCACCTTTTGGTCCTGGCACACCTAGAAATGAAAAACATTTCAGTAGTAAGAGCATTGTTCCAGTATTAAGCATCAATCAGTAATATTTTCTTTTAATACAAAATGTATTCACTCTAGTTGTTTTTTCACCTGTATTTAACTGGGAAGCTGTAGTTCATTCTGATTTCAAAATAGTGTTGTAACCTAACACGAAGGGAAACTGTACAATCCATTTGGTGTAAATAATACATTCTTTACCTAGTGATCTCTGAGTTTTGAACCTAATATATACACATTCGGCTCTCATTAACATTGGCTAAGTAGAAACACTAAGGGAAGAAGTGAAGTAATATATTTGTTTCCCATTTGTAAGGCACTGAAGAAGGGCATTTTCATACTTCCTCTAGACATTTTCTTAAAGTAATTACACACTACAATACACATTGCACCTTTAACACATTCCACTGTCTCAACAGATTTTCACGTGACTAGTATAACCCTTCCTCCACTCTTGTTAGAAGCGTGATCTATCCACATACTTTTTACACTTGATAATTAAGTAAAATAGCAAATATAACAAGGTATTCCTTTGTCCTGTGTGATTTAGTTTTGCAATAAGGAAAACAACAGTGTGTCTGTACAACTGCCATTAAAACATTACACTCCCTACTTTTGTGGCAGTTAGTATTTTCTTGCTTTAAGAGAGAGAAAAAGAACAGTCATACAAATAGAAATGTTAGTGTTCTTGCAGGCAAAGGTTTCAAATAAATTACACTTCTTAATACTCAAGAAGAAAATGCTTGGTTTGTAACTTATGGTTTTACTATTTAATTTTGTGAGATTCAAAACAGAATTACAGTTGGGGTGAAATCTGAAATGTGTCTTTGGCACAATTACCACTTGCCTCTCTGAAGAAACTAGTTCTCCCTTTCATTTCCAATTTTAAAAATCTGTTGAGGATACTGAAGTGGCAGATCATACAGTGTCCCAAGATACAGCAGACAATTGTTCCACTTGTACCTGCCAGCAAACCTACCTACACAGCTAGGTGCAAAAGCCAGAATAATAGATGAGGCAGTAATAAATACCAACCTGCTAACATCAGTTTGCCTACTCATCACCATACGCTGCCTCTTCTCTCTCTCCTCTCAGTTCTACCATTTTGATGCCCATTTGTCTCCTTATCCTCATACCATGCACACTCACTGTCTTGAGAGCACAAGTTATCCATCAGCACTGGAGAACCTACTGCATTACAAACCTTATGCGAGACTAGAAAAAAACAAAACAAAACCCAAACAAAAAAAACCTGCTCTGAGAGTTTCCAGCCTAAATGGACAATACAGAAAAGAACAAAAATATGGAAATATACTGCTCCTACCACAGTTGTTAAGTCATTATGAATCTGGAACCAAAACTGTGGTAACATAAAACAACTTCTAACCCCAGACTTGGGCTTTCTTTAACACATCTGAAGTGAAAGTGTAATTATATTGGTACATTGAGGGAATGGAAATATTCTTGCAATAACAGTACTTTAGCAAGTTCAGAATACTGAGATTCAGTTAAGTGCATTCAATAGCTTTAATTTGCCACATTCCATAGGGTACGTATAACATCTTCCTCACTGTGGAGCAAATCTAAAGTAATCTACCAAAGCTTAACATAAGACAATGAATGCTACAGACCTCTGTAATGCACAACTTCTTTGTAAATGTTGAAACCCTTCTCCCTGTACAAAGTACAACTGAATATAACGGTCAGAAATTATTTAAATGACCACCAACACAAAAATAAATACCTATTTTTCCTCTTTTTCCATTTGTTCCTGGTTCTCCCTTTTGTCCTGGTATTCCTGGGACTCCATCTGATCCATTGTAGCCAGGCAGTCCATCAAGACCAGGAGGCCCTGAACAAATCAAACAGCATAAGTGAACTTTAGCTATTAAAGGCAATTTATCCTTAACTTCACTATATTTACATAGAGTATTTTTTTACACAGATATATTCCTTAAACATAAAAAATCCTCCAATTTGCCATTATGTTCTCCATGCTCAAGTATAGTCCTTTAAAAAAACCCACACAAATGGAAAAAAACCCAAAAGACAACAAACCACAACAACAAAAATACCAAACAGTACAAACAAAAAACACCCACTCATGCAAACAAGCAAGAAACTATGAAACCAAACTTAAAGGTACGGTGCTTGTTTGCCCCGGCCTTAGGATAAGAAAACTGACCGAAATGAATACTGCACACATTTTGCATTAAGGCCAGATCCACCTTTTGGATTCCACTTCAAGGCCAAACGCAGTGGAACCCATCCTATTTCTCAGTTGGGCAGTGACTATAATATCTTCCACAAGCCACACAAGCTGTAATACTGTTTGTGATACTGGCCAGACAAATCTAGCACAAGAAAAGCATTTACCTACTTGTGCAGAATACTGTAGTGCCAAACCACGAGTGGCTGATAGAAAAGACATCACGACATCACTCCCTCTTCGCTATTTGAACCCATACACACAAAAAAGTACCTGACACTTCTCTGATACAGAGAATTATTCTAAGCAGACCCACAGCTAAAAAAGCACAGAAAGAAAGCAAGTAATTGTTCATATAGCCTAGCAACCATGTGAGTGAGAATAGAAAGAGATAATTAAGCAACAATGGAGGAAAACTGGGGGAGGTGGGAGAGTGGAATCAGTAACCATTATTTTTTAAAGAGATGGGTTTGTTGGTAAATTATAATATCAGAGGGGTTTATATATTTTCATATATATATATACACACACACACACACATATACACTCATCTATTCAGCTAAATGCTACTTAAATACCATCTATTCCATGCTGTTTTGACCAAATATGTTTAGCAAATATGAAACTGGTTCATTCCTTCCACTAGAAAACTGTAACATCTAAAAGCTCCCTCTTCTCAGAAGGGACATGAGTTAAGCCAAATACAAAAATTATAAATGCAGGCAGACATTAGATCATCCTTCCTTCTAATTAGCAAAGGAAGACTTTTCTATAAAAGACACATTTTTACATTTTAGCATTTTGAATCAGCAACTTCTTCAACTGTCCAAGTATCTTACCTGGAGGACCTGGGGGGCCTAAAACAAGAATAAGCAAAGGAACAGAAGAAAGAAGAAATGGTGAGTTTAACATAGCAAGGAAACAAAAGACAATTCCAAAATTCATTCATTAGCATTAGATCAGAAGAGTAAAAGGGGAGGAAAACCTCTGACATTTCAAAATGAACAACTAGAGTTAACTGCTTTGCATTAATAACTATTTGAGCATTAGCAGAAACTCACTTACTGAAAAAGTATCCTTAAGAGCAACTACATATACAGTTTGCTTTTTGCAAATTTCAGTTGATAAAGGTTTGACAACCAACCACCTCAGCAATGTAATCTCGCTGTCAGAGGCTGAGATGCCTTTACAACATCAGACACAAGGCACCCCACAAGCATTAGATTTTCTCCAAGATCCTGTTATGGCAGTAGTAGAACAGCTTTACAATACTGATGAATGTCACAGATAAAAATCCTGCCGAAAATACAAATTAAAACCACATCTTATACTGATCTGTGTTTTACAGATATTTCAGCGCACTTCAGGATTCAGACTATTAAAACGGGGGGGGAAGTCTCATCATTCCTATTAACTACATCTACATCACAATCAGACTTTTCACATGTAATTGTTCTCCATATTGGACCAAGTTGCCCACAAAACCTGTTTGGTGTATTAGAATTTAGACTAACTTCAGTTATTCAGCAACATGTAATACAATAAAATCTGTCTCATTCTTAGTTTAAGCATATGGCTTTAAGGAAAAGAAAAACATAGCAGGCCAGAGTAAAGCAAGAGTAAACGAGAAAATGTTACAGTAACAACATTTATCTTAGGTAATCCTCAATACACATTAAAAAACAAAACAAAGAGAACAAGAAAATTAAAAACCAAACCATCAAAAAAACCCCCAGCAAACACCAGGAAAAGCAGGTTAGGAGAATATAAAGAAAAATGGTAGTTGCAATTAAAAGAATCGAATTAGCTCTGTGAACATTTTAATCCAGCTAACAAAGTAATGTCTTGCTTCAACAAAACTCTCTGTAATAGAGAATAAAAGTAATTACTAGATCTCCCTAAAGATCACAATTTTCAGGATTAATTAGAAAGCATTATGAGTAAAGTGAAAAAACATTCTATAATGCCGTTACAGCAATTATCCCTTTCAATCGGTACAGTCAATAATATTAGTTAACATCTTTCTGCCAATTTTTCCAGTAAAATACCAGTTTTTCTACACTATAATGTTATGCCCATTAGTGCATTCAATTACTTTCTCATCTCAAAAAATGAGGAACTTGATTGCCCCTGTATAATCATAGAAGAAATAAGAAATATGCTTGAAATGCAACAAATGTCAGAGGCCTACGGCAGAGAAAGCCAGTGACAGAGAGAAAATGCAATATTGTCAAGAGAGCAAAAAGTTGCAGAAGGCATCAAGTAGCATGAATTGAGAAGCCTGAAGCCCAAAGAAACAAACTTTTAGATCGTCTGTGGTCCACCCCTAGTTGCAATCAGAACTATCTACAATTTCAGAAGTAGCAGTTAACATCTCCGTGTACTACGGCAATTCTCATTTATGTGACATCAGTTGATCCACATGGACCTTACAGTAACTTGAAAATACAAATCACACAGCAAGTGAAGCATTTTCTTAAATTCATAAGAAGTGGATTATATCTCCATCTTCTCATTTCAAAAAAAAATACATGACTCAGTCTGTTATAGACTTCAAAGCTGTACCGTAGCCCTTAAATTGTCTACTAACTGGCATTCTCTTCACCAAATTATACAGAAACTTCTTGCATCTTCTCTCGTCGCAGCCATTGGCCCTTCCAACTCCTCACCAGCAACATGTGAAACCTAACACCCTGTCATCGTGGTCCAAGGCAGGGGAGGTAAACGCACTGCTCATCTAAATCCCACTACTCCACAGTGTGTACAACAGAACAAGGTTTCTACATCCTATACATCCATCGCATGTTAGCCTTGAGGTGTGGGGACATACACAAAAATACTAAGACTAAACATAAACGAGTATTTTAAACACCTAGATCTATAAGATTTGCTTATGAAAATTACATGGTAGAGTAAGAGCAACAAGTAATATCAACAGAGCTCCTTAAATTCCAGCATTTAAAGTAAGTAGGTATAGATTAGTCCCAAAGTAACACCTTTTTTTTCCGTATAATTAACACAATTGATATATAAATTCTGGGAAGAGCAAATAGCATAGTTCTTTGACATAATCATTGACCTCAATTTCTTTGAAAGCACTGCATTTCTGTATTCCTGAAGGTAGCATAAGTGTAAAGCTTAAGGCAATAAACATACCCATTAAGCATAGGTGTATAGCTTAAGGAAAGTCTCCTTCCGCTGTGCCTTTTGCAACCAGACTTGCCTATCCCGCATCAGCCTTTTTAGCCGATGCTACAAGCGTGCTTGTAGCAAGTGCGGGTAGAGCCTTTCCCATATCTTCGTTCGCGAAGACTAGCCATGATGATGATAGCTTAAGGCAACATAGGTGTAAAGCTTAAGGCAACAAACATACCTGTTAAGCATATCCCTTTTGTGCTGTTACACAAATCCACCATCACTCGAACCTAATATGGCAAAGAAAGTAAAGCTGAAAACAATACATGCCATAAAAGTTTATTTTGCCTACAGAAATAATGCCAAAATCAAAGGTAAAATTGCCCACTCTGTGCTCATCAGAAGAAACTACTCAGAACTACTTTAACATTATGACACCATCCATCTCTTCAGGCAGTGATTCACTCACAGGAATCTGTTTAATAAACCTCATTTTAAACCCTTCTGAAAATTCAAGGAAAACACTGGGCAGACAACTCCATACATTGTCTAAGCACTAAATCACACATCACTGCAAAACACGTGTGGTTTTCCATGTATTGACTCTATCAGCAGAACGTATTAAAAGCCAACACCAGCCAACAAAAACTACATTCAATCTTATTTTATATTCATATCAAATGATGGATACTTTTCCAACATATTACATCCAGTGAGAAAGATGAACCTGTGTTTCAAGTAAGTGATTTCTTATCTTGGAATAACAAACATCTGCAAATTTCGAATGGACCTCCATCAGTTCAAAATACTTCGTCCCAGCGGTGACAGACTTCATAAAAACCAAGCTGGAAGAGACATTCATATAGATGCTTTTAATCTAGACTAAAATTTATCAATGAAGAAGTCACCTTCACAAAATATAGGGGGTTTCGCAGGGCAAATATTCACATTACATGTCCTACATGCTCAGAGTCAACATTCTAAAATTTTTGCAACTCATTAAAACATCCAGCAGAAATGAGAATTATTAGGAACATGAGCACTGGAAGGGTCTCAGCTCCTTATGGGAAAATCTAATATCTATAGTCAGAAAAGAAAAAGGTTATTATTTCAGGATTGTGCATGAGCTATTTACCCAGAGCTGCACGTTTATTAATCTTTGTATAATTATCCAGTTTACAAATAACGGAATGCACTAGTCCCAAAAGACAGGACAAACAAGGGCAAGTCAATGTGAAAGGCAGATTGATGTTTAATCCTAGCAAGGTTTTCTACCTCTATCTTTATTTTTAAAAGCAATGCATCGTTAGCTTCAAGTGACAAATCTAACAGACTCAAAGAAAGGTCAATTATTTTGATGGCAAGTATTCTTTTACTGCAAAATCAAACTACATTTGACTATGAACTTTAATTCTGTCAGATACATACTGAGAATTCACTGGATTCCAGACTGCACTGGAATAACTCTTATCTTTAGAAGTTTTAGACTCAAATCAGCTGAAAAGAGCTAACTGGCTTTGAGTATCAGAATTTGCTTATTCTCTTTCCCCTCACAATCCTCAAAAATACTTTGCTTCTACCCTGTAATTAGTAAAACACATGTTGTCCATGTGCGTTCTAATTCAGAATGCCTTTTAATCTAAAAAAGTTGTGTTGAGGTTGCTGAAGTGATTACAACTTGCTTTGGGGCCTTCCAATTACCTCAGCAGCATTGTTTTTACCACTCGGTGCAATTCATATGACAATTAAAAAACCCACAGCACTAAAGAAGTGAGTATGCTATAGCAAATAGCCTACAACAGAACTTCCAGCATTAACTATGGAAGATGAGTACACCAGTCACCCAATCAGCCAGCACCAGCATCACCTCTGCCATGAAGAAAAGCTACACATAAAAATATCTTAATTAAATGCTAAAAGCTTAGTTCTCTCACAAAGAAAGCATGAAAAAAGTAGTAGTCCACCCAAAAGATGAAGTAACTACTCAGATAATTAGGTATCAATAAGCAACCACCTCTTACATTGTCTTAAATCACAATTTGCTGCTCAAACTTATTGGACTATTACATTCTCATCAGCCTTTCTATAGCAGCACATTTGCCAAATGCCTATTTCTATTCTCTTACAAAATAAATAAATATTTTTATAAACACAGAAATAATTAAACAAAAGGACCAGAAGCAAGAATATACTCATATTTTGGATGCCTAAAGTTATTTCAAAGATTCTTGCACAGGGGCTGCAATAGATCTCCCCTGGCCAGCAGCTGTGTGGAGCTGCAGGACACTGATACCTGCAGCACCATCTGCAGAAATCTGTGCGTCCGCTACAAGATAGATCCTGCTCAGGCGAAACCTCCATTCAGGGCCCACATTCAACAGAAGCTGGCACACGGCGCTAAGGCCCTCCAGTGTAGCAGGGACTGTCCCACCAAGCGTAAGGAAATCTGTTTGATGCTACAAAAGTATTCGAGCCTTCACATTACATTAGTGGGAGTTAAATACAAAATACAAACATGCAGGGCAGGGGGGTGGGTGTATGCTTGAACATTTTCCAAGAAACTTCTCCCATAGAGCAAGCAGGTCCACAGAGAGTTACACACTCTTGTGAGCAACAACGAAAATGAAAAATATTTGATAGAAATTTTGTAAGAACAAAAAGGCACAACCCCAAACCAAGCAACTCCCTGCCAGACACATACAATTAAATTAAGCACATCACACAGCAGTAGTCACAGTGCTGATTTAAACGGTGGATCCAAACAAGTGAATAATCTTGCCACGTGCTGTTAAAATACACCCCGTGTCACTTCATGCTGTTTGGAGAGGGCAAAAACATTCATTTAATCCATACATGCTACATAATGACAGCAGAGTAGTATATTTAACTGCCACTGTCAAAATCTGCTAGATATCCAATATCACTAATGATTTAAGTCTGAGCACCTAACAGCAAATGGCATTAACAGCATTCAATCCCTGTCAGGATCTGATTATTTTTTCTGATAATTTTATCTGTGGATCCCTTGGACTCAAAGCAGTGATTTATATGCGATGGAATAAAATGGGCTCTAGCTGTCAAACTCAAAGATGATTTCTTAAACAGGGAAAAGTTTTGAGTAAGTGTTTTGATAAAAAACTTAAATACAGCACACAAAAATATTAGTCACTAAGGCAGCAAATTTTTTTAACATTACCTGATAAAAAAAATTAATCTAAAGAAAACATACTAGTTGCTTCCAATTTTTTTTTGTATGTGTTTCTATATCATCACTGAAATTTTCAAATTTGAAATAACAGTAACTTGAGAATTATGGTTCAAAAAATCTTGCTTTATTTTCCACTTTGACCTAAAACAACGTTTTTTCTGAATTGCCAAAATGCTGAAATGTGTATTATTTGTGTTATTTTTAAGACCATTTTGAGTACAAAACCATATGATCTAAGATTACAGAAAATTAAACGCTCTGGTAAGATGCACAGGGTCCACTGAAAATTTTGCTACTTTGGTAAGTGGAATTAGAAACTAGAGCCAAATATCCAGTATGTTTTAGTACTGCCTCTCACTAAAATTGCAGCATTCATGTACTGCAAATTCTAAACTCAAAGAGTTTAATGGAAATGTTATCACTGTAAAATCATAATTGCAATGGTTTATTCAGAGAAATGCCAGTAGAACATTACTGAAAAGCTATTTTCTGTAAGTATTTTTTTCTGTACTTGATTTTTAATTAGTTATATCAGTAAGAGTTTGAGCTAGCCTTTTTTGCTTTTTGCATGGGCCTGGGCCTGGGCCTGCAATCCTTACTAGGCTGGAATTTCCACTGAAGTTCCCTCAGTAATATTTTTCTTACATTTCTTCTGACTCAGAATTTAAAAGCTTTTCAAACTATTAAAACTTTTCAACTCTATGAACCATATAATTTTTCAACTCCAATACCTAGTTTGTACCAAGCAAGGATAATCTTTTCACTTAAGTACAAAAAACTATGCGGTTTTGCCAGGGAAAGGACACAGAATAGAATGGAATGGGTTGGACCTTAAAGATCACCTAGTTCCAACTCCCCTGCCATGGGCAGGGACACCTCCCACTAGGCCAGGTCGCTCATCCAGACTGGCCTTGAACACTTCCAGGAATATAGGGTTGACCTACAGTTCTCTTCTTCAGACACACCAAACACTAGCTTAAATTTACCACTCATTGAAAGGGCATGATCAATTTCAAAAAAATCTGATGGTACAGTAGTGTCCAGTACCTCAAGTTGAGATGTTTAACAGCAGAAAACACACAGTGGGATCTGTTAGCTGTGTAGAGGTTTAAAAATCTGAAACCTCTGAAACTGGAAGGCTGTCTTTTTATTGCAACTAATTTTTTTAAGTTTCATTAGATCCACATTATTAACAAGCAGCTTCACTCCACTTGTCTACGTAACTATCGTTTTAAAAGTTTAATCATAACCTGGAAGCTACAAAGCCCATCATCTCCAAGACCTCAGCATCTACAGATGACAGTAGGCAACCACTGCTTCTCAGGCACTATGCTCTTCAAGCATCAAGTAAGCACTTTACCACAACACAAACACTGCAGCAGCAACAGTGGGCCGGACGGGGCAGTGCCAAAGCGTGTGTCAGTGTAACACGCCCAGCAGACTCATGACACT